ACACACCGTACACATGGTGAATGAGTCGATCCGCCTAAAGCGTATATTCTGTATGAAGGGCATTAATCAACTCCATTAAACCTACACAATTTAATCATATTTATTTTGTGTTTGTAAAAAACTCTCTTCCACAACCAAGCCTATTCATTTCGCCTTTCAAACGGAAAATGCACTTTAATATAAATATTTACTAAATTTATTTCGTCTGTGCCACATGAACAATTAAAAAATATAACATTTAACATTTAACGCTTTGGACCGTGCTATTGAATGGAAGTTTTACACAGAAAATGGATTTTAAGGTTTCTCATAACAGCTACAGATAAACCCGTAAAATGTGAAATTTGAAAAAATTGAAGATCCCAGATAGGTTCTTTCTTAATTTTAAATTAAATAAATATGAAACTAATGTTAGATCAATGTCTAAAACCAAACCAACATTCTTAGCAGAAACAACGAAGGCCCAAAAAAAATTTTCAATTTTTCGATACGTTCATTTTTTCTTTTCTTTCATTAATACAAAGTGTCAATTTTGACTGTTGGTAAACGAATTAATAACCGACAACCACCTGAGAGTATATAAAAGCAGTCGTTTTCTCCAAGAGGTGGTGCATCATCTCTATGCGAGTAAATCTGTGCAAAGCAGTAGTGGTTATTGCTGTCACATCGGCTTTAAAAGATCGAAAGCCTATGTAAAATTTAGCAAGATGGAATCGTCAATCACCATTTTCTCTGGCCGACAATATATAATCCGTTACATCAACCATTGCTGTCCCATAAATAAATCTCCGACGAAAACTTGGCTGTGTAGGAGGTAATAATAATATGTTGTTTTCTGTGAAATGTGTTCGTATTTGACATTTAATAACGCTTTCAAAAATATCGGGAGTAGGTTGAGCTGAATTAAATTTAGATAGATCTGTCGGTGTATTGCCTTTTGGAAGTGATTTAACGATATTGCCATGGCCCGGTTAGCAAATACGTGTTAATGTTTAAGTAAATTTAATAAGATGCTTAAAAATAATATAATGTCCACTATTTGAGTCTGTGATAAGTTCCTCTTTTACTGCATGGGGTGCAGCTTATAAGTCTGTCTCCTGTGGAAACACAACTGAAACAAGAACTTTCTGAAAGTCTGAAAGAACTAGTAAACCAGGAGCATTAGCGAAATCATAAAATAGACCCCAAGTAAGAGTATTGTCTCACTTAATAGTGACATAATCCAAATGTTTGGTGTAGAGAAAGGAGCTTTAACATCGGTGAGCAACTAGTGTTTATTCATGGTTGGAATGACACGATAAAACTTTATTACATGCAGTCTAGATGAGCCGGGATTGTTAATACATGGTATAATTCACTAGAAAACAACAGTACGACATGCCGGGAACGAAAAACGCGGTCATTGAAGTTTTGCTCAAGTCACAAAAATTTCATTGTCAACATTAAGAATATCAGCGACGGGAAAAAGAAAAAAGAGTACACTATGATGCATTACTTTCGCTCAAATTGCGACGTAAATGGTGTTAACACTGTGTCGTCTATTATCGGTGGTCTAACAACAATGTCGCATGAGATGAAAGTCAGGAAATTAGACACCATCTGAAGAATTTGAAGATTGCATATGATATCGGAATAGTCCAGAAAACACCAAAATACATTGTCCAACAGCAAACAATCAGAAATAACGCGGAATATAGGGTCACGTCCTCCCGACACTTGCGCCAATCGAACTTGTCCAAACGATACTGACCACCATTTAAGCATTAAATTTAAATACCAAGAGTTCGCCGTTAATTCTTAATTAAATCAACCAAATTACAAAAGAAAGTGACTCACCAGTGCAACTTCTTTTAATTTCAGCGCCGTAAAGGCTTTCCTTTTCACAAAATGACTGAGGAATTCACTATTTTCAAAATAGGATACATTAGAAAGTTATTTACAAATTATTCAATGAGTTACAGTTTCATTATTGACTCATGCCCCAGTGGTATCGAACATCTCCAGTTTAATGTTTGGCCCTGATTTTCTTTGCCACATCAGCTACAAAAACTTCCAATTGATCTAGATTAGAATGCGTGTATAGTAAGTATAAATTGAGTAATTACGAACAACTCATACAATATTTCGAATGGATGTTTTAGAAAATTTCATCGCCTGAGTTGTGAAATATGCATATGGAACCAGCATTATTTATTGTAGGTTCTTCTCTTCACTTAATTGAAATCGATGCAATTTGTAAACAAACCATAACTCGACTCATAACAACAACGCAACTAAACGCTGGGTTATTTGACAAACATCGCGGTTGAGTAATTACGAACAACTCATGCGATATTTCGAATGGATTTATTAGAAAATTTCATCGCCTGAGTTGTGAAATATGCAGCTATGGAACCAGCATTATTTATTGTAGATTCTTCTCTTCGCTTAATTGAAATCGATGCAGTTTGTAAACAAACCATAACTCGACTCATAACAACAACGCAACTAAACGCTGGGTTATTTGACAAACATCGCGGTTGTCAGTCAAAAACCCCATTTTTGTCTGAGTTGCGCAATGAAACGTAAAGTTGAAGAAGAATGTTTACTGGTCCTACGATTACGACATAAAAACCATATTTTTACCTCTATGTACGCAACTATGAACCACTATTTCAAACTGAACTGGCTTCTATGCAAATACTAATATCGTTACTGTTTGTAATTTACACATTTTAATTATCTAAAAAGTCTTATCCTCAGGAAGAACAAATTGATTTTGGTATTGGGTGAGTATCGAGAAAACTGTTTAGATACCCGAAGCAGTATATTATCCAAAGGTAACCTAGCAGTTGTTGCAGCTTTTCCGAAGAAAAGGCAGTGTGTTTACTAATAAGTAGGAACGACAAAAATCGGTTAGGAAAATGAATATTTAGTGATAGAATCTCTGATTGAAGACCCTCACACAAATCAGCGAAAAATATATGAAGCAACTGGAATAAGAATAAGAATAATTAAAAAACACAAATTTTACTCGTATCGCATTCAATTCCATCAACAGCATTTTGATGAAGATTGAAGAAGATTATGATTTTTGAATATGTGCTTTTTTCCTATGAAACAACTTTTCATAACAGTGCATACACATAACTTTTACTACTAGAGCAGTGATGAAAATCATAATATTTTTAAAATAATTGGAATCCGAGTGGTAGGTCCATACTTTATTAATGACACCATGTTTCTCGGATTTTTGACCAAAAAATTGCTGCATAGGTGGAAACCATAACTTTCGATATATCGATAGTATAACATAAACACCTTTTGCATAAAAAGCAGAGAAAATCTGTAATTAGTTGTTAAAACAAGCCACTAAATACAAGATATTCCATTTAACTAACTTTTTAACTTTAAGAAGTTTTAATAAAATGTGTGCTCAAACTTTGAACCAATTTTTAAAGTGTTTAATATTCAAATTGGAATCTGGTATTTTTTAATTTCTTAAAATTTCTCTGGGTCACTTTGTATATTTCAAAAAAAAAATTGAAATATACCCCTCATGGTCCCACATACTGTGCGAAAAGTTTTTCTCCCACTCTTTTCCGAAACAAAAACCCAGGCAAATGTGGCGAGCTACCCTGTATACCAAACTAGATACTTAAAGTTAATAGATACCACAATTGTGTATTTAAATACTTTTTGCTACTTTATTATAGACCTACCTATTTAATTTTAAATTTAGTTCGTATCGATTGACTCATGTCCGGTATTACAAGTATAATATATAGATATACCCCAAATTTGGGAAATAATTTTTCTTACAGTCACCCTTAAAAATTTTGCTTGCAATAGTAATTACATCGTTTTTAAAACTAAGTAGACAAGCAGACTAATTAGCGAGATGAAAATTCAATGCTTGTCGGTACATAACTACACATCCAAAATTTGATGTAAACATCGTTATTTCGTGCTAGAAGGTATTTCTTTATTTTCATTATTTTACTCGCAGATATAAAATGCGTTTTTTCGAAATTTTGCTGGAATGTTAGAACTGAAACAAGTTTGATTTGTTCAGTTGCAGTGTATAAAAGAATATCATTATATTAATAAAGTTACCCGTTTCTTAAAAAAAATGTTTATTAATATATTAATCATTTTTTATACTGTTTAAAACTCTAATAAATAGATATTTCCCGTTTCCAGTGACTTGATTTCTGAAATTTGAAGTGCCTACTGCTGGAATATGTATCCAACCCAGTCGAATCCCAGTGGTACTAATTAATACCATTTTTGAATATTATGTATTTTTACTAATATTTATTTTATATTGTCAATAGTTAGCAAAATTACCAATTAGTAACATGTGAATCAAGTAATCCTTAAAGAATTCATTTAATCACATATTTTAAATATTCCGTACTATATTTTATCGTAAATAATATTTTAATACGCCCGTGTAGTAGAACGTTGGATTAAAACCACACCATCACTAGTTCCTTCTCCCTTGCTTCATCAGCAGTTCCTTCACGAGAAGCGGGCTTTGAAGTCCGGCAATAGTTCCCGAGTTTTCCGTTATTGGTGGAAGCGCCAGACCCAGGTCGTCAGCAATTCTTTTGCAAAACCATTTGAGGAAGTCATTGTTTATTGTATTCATTTTGGGGTACTAACTAGCATAAAACTGTTTTCATTCACATTTCTGACACAATTTTAAGGTTAGACCGAAGTCGAGCAACTAAATTTAACTATCGCCACTTAAATGATGACGCCCTAACATAACTGACCATCAAATTGTTATTAAGAAATCCAACATTTGTATTACTTCTACCGATAAAATTTAAGGGATCCATTATTTCTATACTTTTGCTCATAATCTCTGACGGTAGCGAAGCCTAGAAGGAACTTTTAAAAAACATGAAGATATTACTTTCTTTTTGGTCCGTGCCTTTTTTTTTCTATAATCTTTCGTTTGGCAATTGAGCCGAAAAACGACCTTGGCACACCTTTCTCTGGCATCATCTATGGTTATAACCTACATTTCAATTTTTCCCTCCAATATTTTAAAGTTCGTTAGTAGTTGGTGATAATTTGAAGGGCCGGTTGTTGTGTTGTAAAATTTTGCAAAAGCCCAGGTAAAGTAATCATTTTTAATATTTTTATATTATCTATTAGTTGCATTATTCACACTGAAATTTTTTATTTTTGGTAAATCTATTTGAAAATTGTGTGTTAAACGTTCGTTCATCATTATATGATTTCTACGATTTGCTGGCTTTCGATAAATACGAAAGTTTAGAAAGAAATATCTTAACTCAATATTATCGTGTGGTATAAAAAATGCTTGCTAGATTAAAATTACCTTATAAAGAGTTGTTTTGGGGGAGTTTTATGTGAGTTAATATATTAGCTAAATATTTAATTTGGTGTAGTTAATTGTATATTTTAAATGCTCTTTATATATTATTTTGAACCTTCATTATTCATTATGACGTAATTTTTTTCTATAGCTTATTATGCATACTTCAACTTTTATTTTGACCCTAAATTTAGTAGCTTAGCCATTCGGACTTTGCAGTGAACATTGTGACAATGTATTTTGCATGATTCCTTCTGAAACTATTAATCTATTAATGTCAGTCATATATATGATTCAATAACACCCATTATATCAATTAATCAAGTCAATATATCATGTCAAAATTACAATCTGGGAAACTAGTTCTTTGAGCGAGGTACATCCAAATTATAAATCAAGAAACCTCTACTCATTTTTTTATTCTATTTATTTTCGTTTTTAAGATAAAAAATAAAAAAATGTTTTCCACCGAATTTGTAGCGTAATATGCCCCTAATGATTGGCTTTTGTTCCAACCTTTATATAACAAAGTACCTTTATAGTATCACAAATGAACTTTTCGTTTATTTGGCCTATCGTTTGTTTTCTTATTAGTTTGTATTCTCACAGATTTAAATTATTTCATTTATTTATTAAACTGAACTGAATAACATGTGCTTGAATTTTTTTACTGTTCATTCACTTAGTAACTTTTTTCTAGTACCCCTATTGTCTTTTCAAGTACAAAAAAAAAGAAATCGGGGAACATTAAAAAACGCCTATATACCATTCGATTTACAACTGTTTTCGTTAAGTTAATTTTTGCAATTTTTTACATTTTCAGTCTTTTGGAAGAATGGAGGCGAGTGGTGGTACCGTGACTTCAAAAAATGAATCTATGGAAGCTACCGTTAACTTAAATCTGCCATTGCCAAAATCAAAACTGAATCAAATTGAAAAAGAAATGTTAGAGAAAGAGTTGATGGAGAAAAGACGTGTGAATGCTTTGCGTCAAATGAATTATCTTATTAAAATTAGTGAGAAATATTCGGAACATTTTAAAAGAAACATTTCAAAGTAAGTACGTTACAGTGGGCATAAAAAATTACAAAAATATGTCATTGTTTGAATATTTTTGTTGTTTTTTTTTAAACAAACTTCAACATAAATTAAAAGAAAAAATTAAATTGGTTTTCGACAACAAATAAAATTATCATCTTTCCGTATGTGTTTTAAAATGTTTAAATTACTGACAACATTTCCGTTCGAGTTAAGAATGATATGACTCCAGACTGATTTTGCATTTGAAAACTTTCATTGCAACCGACTGTTTGGTTGAGATTGTGCAGCACAATTTGTACTCTGGAGAAAATAATTTGCATCACCAAATTTTAAAGAATCATTAAGAAAAGTAAAATAACTGCCTTTAATTTTAAATATTTAAAGTCAATTTTGTGCTTGTATTTATTTTTCTCCGTGACTTTTAAATACGTATTTAATTACGGTGGTTTTTTCGGTTTGAATTCTGTAATAGACTCGTGACATTTTTCTTATTTCATTAAAATATACAGGGTATTTCCTATGACAAATCGATTTTTTATTGATAACTGTTAAACTTATTTCCACAGCAAAAAAGTTGCAGCCATTTTTAAAAAAGACACATTTTCACAAGCAGCAAGTATCTGTTTGCGGTTTCAGCTGAGTCAGCCTTTGCCAAACAAGACTTACAGGTTGAGGACTACCATATTTCAACCTTCACGGGAATGCCATGACTTTGTAACTTTAACACAAAATATTTTTTGAACTTTTTTTATGTTGAATTGAATGGATGCTACAATGATCGACCGACGGGATTGTCACTGACAATATTTGTTTTTTCTTTTTCAATTTGGAGTTATTTACATGTTTATGTTTTAGATATCAAATATTGACAGAAAGAACCACTTCAAATACAGATATGGGCGAAAATAACAGTGGGGTTGGAAAACTTGTTGGGAACAAAAAGAAGGATAACGGTAAGAGTTAATAAGTTGTAGAATTTTAAGTTTTACACTAAATAATTTTGACTGCAGTTTGTCCAATAAAATGAAAGTTTTAAGTACTCAAACTTATTTTTTCAAAGCAAAAAACAAATATCAGAGATTAAAATTAGATCAGTCTCAATCATTAAAATTATTTTAGTGAAAGCAGAATATAATTGATTTTTTTTACAGATTTGGATATTAAAAATTGTCTGGATCTTTTTAAGGGAAAGTTACACCAGTATCAGCTTGAAGGAGTTACTTGGTTGCATGTAAGCTTGAACATTAGATTTAAAGTCTGTTCTTAGATATAAGAAAGTGACGAACTGATACGAATTAAGAAAAGACCCGGGCAAGCTGTAAGAATGAAATATGGCCGAACAGGTCCGTACTTTGCTTAGAATTTAATTATTTGGGGTTTTGTTGGGAAAGATACTAAACAATATTTGTTTATTTATTTATTTATGTATTTATGTTTAAATCTAAAATAAAATTACAAATTATTTTTATTACGTACTTAAATTACTTAAAATTATTCACGTAATATATCAGTATCACTATCGCTATCATCGCCTGTTCTAATTATTATTTGTTCTATATTATTTGCAATATGGATATACAATACAATTGTTCTGCTTTTTCTTTATGTTTAACAGAATTTGCCCAACTTTGTGGATGGATGTTAAAAACTTCGGTTTCTATAAGTTTGAGGTCATTCGAGTTAACACGGGGAAAAACATTATACAGTGGTAAGGTGGAAGCCTTAAAACTGTATGCCCTAGATTTTTTGCATAATTATCACAGCTTTGTAGAACCTCAATTAATTGCTTTTTGGTATAATCTTCGTGAAAATAAATGTTATTATACATGTAGTTTTGGATTGTTCCTTTTGTGTCACATGAGGAAGAGGTTTTAGTCAACTGTCTACTGTGATAACTTGCATTGTCCATTATAATGACGCTATTAGGGGGAATGTTTGGAACTAGTTTGTTTTTAAACCAACTTTCAAATAAATCAGAGGTGGTGTTTTCATGGTAATCCAGAGAAGAATCTTTAATATTTTTCGCAGACAGAGAAATTCCATTTGGAGTCCAACCATGTTTAGAGCCAGCATACAAAATATTCTTTTACCTCTTTTTGATGGTGCGTTTGTTTTACACTTATAAGTTGAGTCAACCCAACCGGGGCGTCATAAGTGTCGAACCAGGTTTCATCCAAGTAACTAATTGCCTTTGATGTTGTCTGTAAGTCCTAATTTTTTCTAGATATGCCAGTCGCCATTTCCGAATTCTAAAAGATTCCATTAAAACTTGCCTTTTGTCAATTTTTTAAAATATAAAACCCATGTGTTGAATACACTTGCATAAGGTAGTTCTGCCACATTTAACACCGGTTTCATCTTTTTCAAGCCTCCTAATTAAGATATCTAATGTAGACACGCTTTGTTCCTCGTATAACTGGTAAATTTTACACCGTATTATATCTTGATCACTTTCATCTACACTCTAGAAAATGTCAGCAGCGCTTCTGTTTTTCCTCGCTGAAATGGGATTATTCACAATTTTCCATACAATTGATGTTGGAATTTTCGTCAATGTGGCCGTTTCTTCTAAAGATGCTTGCTTGCTTGCACCACGTTCAATGAGAATCAATTAAACATTGTTTATAACTTCCTTAGTCTCAATAGAATAGTGTTTTCTACATTTGGGTGGGGCATCTCCTGAGATACACTAGACTTGCACATATTTTGCATAATTCGCACACGATTCAACACGCTGTATTACACACAAAATAAGAATGATTACTAATAAACTTAAACTAAGTAGTAGACCAAGAATATTAAACACAGGTAGGTATAAAATTATTTTCTATTACGCACCACAATTTTACCTGAATTTAAATTCCGAAACTTTAGGTAATAATCTTGTTGCATTGTATGTTAATGACCACGCTTGGATAATCCGATTCAAAAGCAATTGGTCACTTTCTTATATCTATGAACAGACCATACCTTAAATATTAATCAGCACACACACACACACACGTATTGGCTACTGTAATATCTTTCAATTGAAGAGAAACAAAATTATGATATCCTTAAAATAGTAAACCTTACCTGTTCTATGTAAAAATAACTAACAATAAATTACTTTTCGCATTATTTCTTAGCCACTAAGCTAATTCAATACAAACAATACACATTTGGTTATTGGGAAATTGATAGTAGTAATTAAATTGGATATTAAGAAAGCGTATTTTATTTCAGTTTAGCAAAACATTTTCAAATCTAGTGATTAGTTTTAATGACCATGGCCATGGTTAATGTTGATATTTTTGACACCTTTGTAAATTCACAATTCTTATAACTAATTAATTGCCCCACAGATTCTGTATTCAAATGGATTTAATGGAATACTAGCTGATGAAATGGGCTTGGGTAAAACAATCCAAGTGATAGCATTAATTTGCATTCTTCTGCAACAAAATACAGGAGGCCCTTTTTTGATTGTTGCTCCATTATCAGTTGTACCCAATTGGTTAAGTGAGTTTAAAAGATTTGCACCTGCAATCCCTGTGATATCTATCTGTGGTTCTGCTGACAATCGACAGGAGAATTGTAAATTGCTCTATAAACTAAGCAAGGTGGGCAAATGTCTTACTCACCCAGTTGTTATTGTATCCTACCAAACACCATTGCTCGAGTTCAAGACTTTGCAAAAATTTTGCTGGAGGTATATCATTGTTGATGAAGGTCATCGAATTAAAAATCATAATACACAACTGGCTCAGTAAGTATTGCTTAATATTAACTCACCTGACTACTTATTTCTCTCTATTTTTTGTTGAGATTTGTGTACTATTGTTTTTAGGGTATTTTTTTGGATAGACGTAGCTTAAACGTATAAAGTACTAAACATTTTCTTTATCCCATTGTTCAAATAGTTCAGTACAGTAAAAAAAAAATAATTTATTATCAAAACTTTAGAATCGTTCTTTTCTTTCAAAAATGCATATATGTTAATGTTTTAGGGCGTTGAGGAAACTTAAGTCTGAAAACAGGTTGATACTAACTGGTACACCACTGCAAAATAACATCGTTGAGTTATGGGCTCTTCTAAATTTTCTTTTGCCAGATCTATTTAAGGACATTAACACATTTACTGATTTACTGTTTCTAGAAGATATGCAGGTTAGTCTTAACTTCCAAACTACTTCGCTATAAACATTGCGAAAAACAACAGACTTGACTAAAATTTTCGACATTATATCTCTTTATTATATTTCATCAAAATTTTATATATGACTTTGATGTAATGTTACGTGTTTGTTGTGATAAATTTTAGTGGATACACTAATATAGGTCAAGAAATCATCTCCATTTCTGTTACGTTTGAATAGAACTGCGCGATACTAGGAGTTTTCTTGCGAACACGACTTGGGTACTAAAAAATGTTGTAATTATACCAAAAAATATAACCCTGCTTAATGCACCGCCTACAGAGAAATTTTAAAATGACTTCTGCCATGGCAACCCAATATTACGAACTTAATTTGGAAGAAGCGAAGAAACTAGTGACTGAGGAAGTTTATCAATTAAGTAACAAAGCTGACGTCTTAACGTGACACTAATTGGTTATTTAGAGTACTGAACAGAAAAATAAATATGAATGATACCAAAACTCCAAATTTCCTTGGTTTGCCATCCAAAATTCGAAACCTTGTTATACAGGTTGTGAATATAAGGCAGCGAAAATTTTCCATCATTTTGGCGATTGAATTTAGAACAAATGGGGCGTCAAACATGTGGGAATGTCTTTGCAATTGTTTTGCGTTTCTGTGGAAATAAGGGTATTTCATGAAATTCCCTTTTTATTTTAAAATTAGGACTAAATAGTAGTAGGCACTGTCTGACTTGCATCAACGAATAACTTGTAAAGAAAATGGGAAAATCATTTATTTCAAATTTCTGTATCTTAGTTTTGATTTCTATTTTAGGACCAAACGAAGTTACTAGCGAAGGAGCAGTCTGATCACATGATCTCCAGTATCCACAAAGTTTTGGCTCCCTTTATGTTACGAAGACTGAAAAAAGATGTTCTTGATAATATGGTTCCAAAAAAGGAGGTTACTGTTTTTTGTCCGATGTCACCAGTTCAATTGCAACTTTACGATTATGTTATTAACAGGAACTTGAGAGCATTGCAAGGTCTCAATGAAGAAGAAGAAGTAAATATTTCTTTTGATTTGATATTTTTGGTATAACCGCTTTCATTACAAGAGTACCCTAAGGCTGCTGTTGCCAGTTATCAGAAGAGCAGTTAATGCAACTTTTTTCGTTTTTTTTCCTGTAGTAAATTAAATATATATAATATATAATAAATAAATATGTTAATCAATTTGTTATTACTCATTTTTACGTATTTTTCAAAATAACATTACTGTTGCTAATTCTTTAGACTTCAAAACGGTCGTAGTTAATTTTAAACAAGGCCCGGTAGAGTCGACGTAGCTTTCTTTTTTCCATTGTTATTTCCATCGTGTAACAGAAAGTTTTGGGGTCCCTTATAAAGATGACTAACTGGCAACTAAATCCTTAACGACTTCAAAGCTGCTAATTTTAAACAAGAAACATTCAACTTAAAGATTTGAAAGACTTATTTTGCTTTAGAGAAGCATAAAAAGTTTCCATACTCTTTGACGGTTTCTGTACATGTGTAGTTAAAGTCACGAATTTGTGGCTATCTCTAAAAGGGATTTTAGATATTCTTCTCTTGGCAAATGAGATATTTTCTCATATAAAATTTTAAATTAAACCCATGCCTTTTGAGTAATTGAGTAATAGCATTTTTTTATTTTATTTTTTGCCCTTTTGCAAGGTGTTGCCAAAAAGGAACTGTATAAACAAATTTTTTTCTTAGATTATTTTTCCCCTTCCACATTTTAATCATTGCTTGAACTTTTATTTAATCTTTAATGAATCAACATTTTAGATAATTTTGGACCAACCTAGAAAAAAAAGGAAGTGTACTAATAAAGTCAGAAGTTACCAGGAATTGTCCATCGACAATGAAGAAGACGCGTCAATGAATTGTGTTGAAGTGTTAGACATCAAACCGAAAGATCGAGAAACTATAAGCAGACTGACTATGCAGAGTCCACTTATGATGTTCAGGAAAATTGTTAATCATCCATACTTGGTCCATTTTCCTCTTGACCCATCTAGTTCTACCAAACAGTTGTTGATTGATGAAAATCTAGTCAATTCCAGTGGAAAACTTAAAGTTCTAGACACATTATTGCCGAAGTTGCAACAACTTGGACATAAGGTAATTCATGAATAACACATCTCTCTCTCTCTGTCTCACAGTCTCTTTTTGTTGAATTGAGTTTTTTGCTCAGATTCATTTGTTTTAAAATTCCTGAGTAATAATTTTTTTAAGCGTCAGACTTACAGAATATAAAACTATGTTTGTGTTTTGGCTTTTTTAAAATTCTAATTGGCACAATAAAATTATATCCAAACAAGGTTGGGCAAAACTTAATGTTTAGGAGACATATACTTAAGTGCCTTTATTATGATATGTAAGTTGAACATGAAATCATTTAATAGCGTTTTTGAAATCGGATATCAATTAAGAATACTGCAGCGGTGGAAGTTTGTCATGCTTTTTTCATAGCGACCAAGAAGCGGTTTTGCTTCCCATATACATTATTAATGGAGTGTAAACATTGTTCTCTTAGTATGCAATTAATTATACACATTCTTAACTTTTCATTCAGCAGGTCACTGTTTTTTACTTTCACTTATTTTGACTTGATTTTACTTTTTTTAAACTTTATTAGAACTTTTGCATCCTTTATTCCAGTTAAGTGATGACCATGTGAACTAAAGTTTACTTTAGACATAGATTATTTTTAAAATATGCGATCCAAATTTCCGCGCAGCCAGTACATGTTTGGTTTGACACTTTTTGTGTGTGTATTCTAGGTATTACTGTTCAGTCAATTTGTGATACTGCTGGATTTAATTGAAGATTATCTGATCATGCGTGGGTATGGCTATGAAAGATTAGATGGAAGTAAAAAACTTGACGAGAGAGCTGATTCTATAGAAAATTTTAATAAAAACCCTAAAATATGCGTGTTTCTCCTTTCAACAAGAAGTGGAAGTCTAGGTATGTTCTATTTTGATACTCTACTTTCGACGAGGTGGGGGTGTGGCTTTCTATGGTGCTAAATGTTTTATAAATTAAAAACGATATTTTAAGCTAGAATCACGAATAACTCCCTATTTGTACTATCTGCACTTATAACAAAATTTTCCCCAAATAGTCTTAGTAGTCTGATTATTCGCACATGTTTAGTTGTTCAAAGTCAAAGTCATAAAACATAGTTGAAATTGTACGATTTATCGCGATCTAACATGTGATATAATTTTGGAATTGTAGGTTTAAATTTAACGAGTGCGGACACCGTAATCTTTTTTGATCATGACTGGAACCCACAAGCTGACATTCAAGCTCAAGATAGATGTCATCGTATTGGACAAACCAAACCCGTTGTTATTTATAATTTAGTCACTAAAAATACAATCGATGAAGCTATCATTAACCGAGGAAAAATGAAAAAATTGTTGGAGAAGGTGATAATATCAGAAGGTGTGTAATTTTGTATATTGGCTTAAGTTGCAATTGAACAACCAAAAAAAAACGTCCTTTAATTATACAAAGTGGAAGTTGCAAAACTCTAATTTATTTTAGCAAAAAAAACAACTCTGGCAAAAGTTTAACTTTTTGCTGTACTGCAAAAATATTTTTAATTTAATTTTAATTTAAAAAAAAAACAGTGACGATTTTCATATAATTTGAATTAAAATTTTATATAAATATTAAATTGTTTCAATTAAAGAAAATACTTTTTAAATAATAAGTATAATGCTTGATACTTTTTCCATTATTTCAAAATATATACATTTTTATGTTTTATTTAACGTTTCAATCACAATGTCGATTTTCATCAAGAATCTAAAATACATGCAAATAATAGATACAATCAAATATTACATAAAACTACATAGATACCTAAGCATTATTTTCAATGTAAATAAATAGAAATATTAAACAATTGATACAATATTTTGGCTGTGATGTGTTGCTAAGAGTAATTTATTTGTTTTTAATATGAATCATTCCTTTTGTTGAAAAATTTTGATTTGTTTTGTTTAGTTTCATTTTTTTCATTTTGGCAAAATCGAAATGTTGTAAACAGTGGGAACGAGAAAGCAATCATTATTTTGTATACCTCTTTAAATAACACTAGAAAAAAATAAAAACGAAATGATAGGATTCTTGGATTCTTGTTTATTTCAAGGTCAAGGTCAAACAATAAAGGCCAATTTTAGTTAAAACTTTCATTGTTCTGTGATTCTGATATTTACTTAAAAAATATGCTAATAATCTATCAAAAACAAAAACAGTATTTAAGCACAACGAGTCACCATATTATCACATTTTTAGGTAAATTTAAAACCATTATGAGCGATGACAGAATCAGAACTGAAGATGTTCTCCTTGAACTTCGGCAGGCCTTGCAGACGTCCAATGATGATACTTACGTATTCAATAACAGTGTACAACTAGGAAAACTTTTAGATAGGTCTGACCTGCATAAGATTTTAAAAAATCGAAAGAAATCAATGTTAAAAGAAAATATAAATGTCAAAGAGAAGACACCTAAGATATAAAACTACAACAAAACCAACCAGTATAATTAATTAATTGTGATAATTTATAAATGTAGCTTTAAGTTTTTAATGTTAATGTTTAGTTGTCGCTAGTTTTATTTGTATAGACAATATTTGATATTTATTCTAATTGGGATGAAAGTGTTTTTCTTAAATTGTGTTATTTTTTAATATAAGCTTTTGAAATATCTTTTATTTCTCATTCATATAAAAAGATTTTCTTTGAAGGTGCTGTGATTATTATATCAATTGGATAGGGGACAAAATGAAATATGTCCTCATAACTTAATTTAAAGAAAAACATGAGAATGTTTTGGATATCTGATTTTGGCTAAACAAAGGCTATTTAGCAAATAGATTTTTCTGAACTTAAAAACATACTCAAATAAATCTGTTCAATTCACATATTATGTAAAAAGTGGTAATGTCTAGATTTCATTGGCTAATGATTCGTCATTTTGTTGTGATTTGGCCTATCTGTTCTGTTTAGCCAGGGTTTATTTTCCGTTTTACACTAGAAAAACTACTTTAAAAAAATCAATGAGAAATTGTTTTGGTCACAATTGTTTCTAGAACTGGATTAACAGTGCATTGGTTGAGAACCATTATTGTACATAATTTTTTTACGAAAATTGAATTTTCGCAACGTAAATTTGAACAGTTTTGGAAGTTGCAGAGTGATTTCAAGACGTAATTTTCATCAGTTATCTAAAGTTGGCTGAATTTCAGGTCCCAAAATCCAAATTGCGGGTTTCGCTGTTTTGAATCGTTTTGTAAGACTTAAAATTTAAATTTTTCACTATTAAAAACAAAAAAGCCATCATCTATATAGTGACAAAATAAGCACACCACTTAATACAAACCTTTGCTTAAACTCTAAGCTGATTATGACGTCTAAAATGCTGGTCTTTCAGCGACCTGGTGTTTGTGCTTTTTGTGCTGTAACGCCTTCTGGTTATTTTTGAAAATGTTTTTTCTAACAAACGATATAAAAATGCTGTTGCTTAAGGTGTACATACTTGTCACAAAATCTTCCCCTGGATTTTGTGAACAATATTGTCCAAAACTATAAAGATCACTTAATGAAGAGTTTGAAAAAAATGATGTCACTAACTCTGGTTAACTTCTTAGTTTTCAGAAACCAAATTTTGTAACCGTCATTATCATTAAATCCTAACAAAAATTCCTTTGATAGATTTTTGGTTATGGGTATATATGCAAGTATTATGTACTTCAATTTAGGTGTTGTTAACTTGGTTTCTTTTTATGCATCATATACGATCTTCTTAATATATAAACAGCTGTGTTTATAATTTCACCACATTAATATAGCCACAACCATATATCTATTAGGTAATATAGTGGCGGCTAGGCTAGCGCAGTAAAAATTAATGGATCACGGGCGGCAATGATATTTTCGTAGAGCTCGCAATAATTTCGCAGGCATGCCCCTTACTTTTACACTCTACCTATCCATTGCTCCATTTTCTTTCTAAACAGCGATCTCCACACACTTAACTCGTTTTCGATAAACTGCAGGAACCGATAACATTTGAAATTATGAATTTTGTCAAATTTGCAAATCATCGCGTCAAGGGATCATTATTTGCAAATCTGAAATTTTGTTTTTTTTTTGACAGAGCTACCAAAAATTGGATAATTTATAAATTACGACCAAAAATGTAAGTTGCTAGCCAAGCAATCCTTAGTAGAATTCGCCGACCAATATGCCGTTTTTACAACCTTTTACGGTTTTGACTTCGAAATGAGTTTAAAACCCGCCTGTTGAAGAATGGAAGGTGCCATTATTTTCAGCACGTGTACCTAAAACAGTCCCTACTTGAGGTAGCTGGATTTCAAGTTGAATTTGCCCATTAGATAGGTTAATCTATATTAAAAACACATTAGAAAGCTAAAACTGATTTCCAATAATGACCCTAAACTATTTTCCTAGGAAAGCAATACAAAATATTATGTAGATAGTTGATTTATAATAGATGTTTTCTTAATTTGCTATTGGTTAACTTGTGGGGACTGTTTTATAAAACTTTGGAGTTATTTTTATTCCGTCTTGTGGTTGTAATTAGTAATTACCAACTTAATGTTGACACACATCACATCTTTTCCAGACAAATTTTCATTAAATTTTAAAAATTAATCAAAATTGCAGCGAGATTTTCGTGATTATTTTCCGCCTATTTTAAATTCCAGGACATTTACAAATTTCCCAATTCTGTACTGTTTGTTTTGTGGAATAATCCGGCACCTTCACCAAATTTCGTCCAGGCTAACTCGGGATTAACCTTCGGTCTATCAATTTTGAACTCATTGTGTTACAATTTCTAAAATATCGACAAATAGCTATTTTTCTATTTTCAACTCTAACAGCCAACATTTTCAAAAAAATAAATAAAAAATATTGTAATTTCAGATCTGTTCATAAGAGTCTCGAAGAACACGGTATTTTTATCGTAACCTGAAACAAAAACCTAAAGATTACCCATTACCTGTAACCAAATCTAAATCTAAAAATTTCAAATTGCTGAAACCACAGTTTTCATACTGAAATGAACAAGAATGAAACAATTTTAACACAATTACCTATGGTCGCGCGACATTTACAGTACTTTAGTCACGGATTTGGGAGCGACCGGATGTTTTCGGTAGATTTTTACTTCGGATGGTATTTTGATGTTTGTCAGTTCTCATGGTCACGTTTACGTCACTCGGTGAATGTGAACCTAAAGTGGTATGTAACATGTTGATAAACTTCTTCAATCACTCGTTTATTAAACACGCGATCCGCTGAGCTCCATTGATGCCAAAATAAAGTCGTGATTAAAGTGTTGTTTTTCAAACTTGTTGCATGATATACTATTAATGTGGTTTTGTTTACATAAACTGATATATTTTCTCTACACCTACTATCGTTATAAATAAAAAATACATTTACCCGTAGATAATGGCTAATCAGGTGTATTCTGCTCTTATCTCTTTTGAATGACTTGTATGTTTAGTTTATCGTTCACATACAAAGTTATGTATCTACATTTCGGTATATTATACGTCTTCCACAAATATACCTACGCCGAATATGTATCCATACTATGAATCAGATTGGAGTGTTTTGCCACCAGAGGCTAACAGAAGGTAGGTCACTAATTTTGTAGAACGTTTAGTTAATAATTCAAGGCGAGTTGTATACGATCTGATAAGTTCTGTAAGTTACGAGCAATAGAATGACAATATTGACAATAGAAAAAGCAAATACTAACGAGCTAATGCTATCTGATTGAAATCTTTTGTAGGAGCAGTTATTTTTTTAGAGCAAAACTAATTGTTCTAAACAGAAATCTTTGGTGGCATAGAATTCTTCGTACATTGTTGTAATCATACTCAAGTCACCTCCCTCCATAATAACAGCTCCAGTATTTGATTAAGGATTAAGTATATCCTTGTGATGGTGTCTAAATACCCCGCGGCCACAGTGGTGGGGATGTAACACAACTTATTGCAAGTTTTCGCGACGTTGTCAGATGGCACTTTATCGTCGAAAGGGAGGAACGTTCAAATTGGAATGATTTTTTTTTGTACGACATTTCTATTAATTTTAACTCAGTATTTTAGTGTTAGACTAAAAAAGAACAAATCCTAACCAAATTAAAGTTGGTTTTTCATCTGTGTTTAGTTTTTACTCCGTTTGGCTTTTTAAATTTGTATATCATACAAATCTAAGCTAAAAAGAATCAATAACAAACAACGTTTTTAACCGTATATTTTACGTTTTGAAAACATGTTTTCTATAATTTATATAACTATAAAATCCATATTAATTAATTAATTTATTTATCATTTATTAGTTATTAAAAATTGAACTTCAGTGGTGGCGAGATTGTGAATTGCAAAGGTTGATGATCAGGTCTATGACTTACCGTAAATCACCCGTTTTAGCTATATTTTTCTATAACAGAAAGTATTCAAAATCAGAAAAGATCTTAAATTTTTTAAAAGTTGTTTGGAATGGGCCAGGTGACGTCACAGTCATCTGGAACGCTCTACTAAACCGGCAGAAATAAATTGTCGACGTAACTACGCTATCTTAATTTGCCGTCTGTTTTATAATAGGAAAATAACGATAATGTACAATATATTGATTTATTTAAATGGACCGGGGATAATTAATGTGTTATAACTTTTAATATTAAAGTTTTTTATTTATTTTTTATTGATTTAATTTCCGATGTTACCAAACTTTAATCTATGGAGGTCACTATTAATGATAAAATAATTATTTTTCTATGATACTGTGGGCGATGTCAAAATACGAAGGTGATATTTTATAGGTACTTGCATTATTTTGGAGAACAGTAACCTTTTACAAAATAGTTTCACAGAGCAATCAATATTACCCATTTTATTTTCCTATTTTATCGAATTACTTTGTGCAGTGTTTAGGTGTGAATTACTACTGAAAATACCATGAATGCTTCAGAGCATGGGTAAAAATGTTATTACAAATATTTCTATGTATAGCTTGTGTATTGTTAATTTTAGATTTAACCCAGCGTTTAATATGGCTACGATCAAGCAGGTTGTTAATGAAGCAATTGAAAAAGGTAATCTTATTTGCTTTCCTCAAATTAAAATTGTTTAGTAACCTTTCTTCCTAGTACGAATGCCTACACCTATGCGACTTCGTGACCTGATTAGACAAATTAGGGCTGCTAGAACTGCTGCTGAAGAACGAAGCGTTGTAAATAAAGAATGCGCATATATCAGAAGCACATTTAGGGAAGAAGACTCAGTTTGGAGGTATGTTCTTCCACATAATTCTGATCTTTTATGTTTCTCTACTGCTTAGTATTTTTTGTGATGGTATATGCATTTTTTAGTTTAAGGTCTAAATAGAATGATATTGTCATAATAAGAGTATCTGTGGAAGCAGAAGTTGCTGGTTAAATAAATACATATCTGATAAAACTGACAATAATGAACTATGTAATGAATAACTAATATTTGCCACTCTGTTTTATTTATTTATATATTTGTTGAGGGGAGAGCATCTCATTATATAAAAGAGACAAAACTTGAGACGGAGCAAATCAAATAAATAAGGAAAGAACACTACTCTGTCAGCTTTAAAAGTTTTTTAAATGTTTCAGGGCTACAGATTCATGGATCAAAATGAGGGGGTATGTGTTATGTACTCTAAATATTCAGTTCGGAATGTTTTGCTTCCGAGACTCTAAAAACGAAATGTGGATCATTAACACAGAAAGGGCTAATTGGAATTAATAATTTAGTTGCAATATTGGGAGTTTGTACTGGATCCTGAAATCTGAATTAATGAATTTGCTAGTAAAACTAAAAAATAATATGATCAGGAAATCAAATGACCTAGATTTAATGAATTTAAAAATTGCAGTATGTAGTAATTATTAGAACATATCAAAAGTGGAAGCTTTTTCTAACAAACAGGTTTGATTTAAGAAGGGGAAACAGAACTGTTACAAAAAATTAAGAGATCTATGAAAACAAAGGGTTTACAGTAACAATGTTCATTAAGAACAAAAAAAATTGATAGAAATGTGTGTTCAATCAAATTTATGAGTTAAATCCCAGTATGAAAAAAGTAATAATGGACTTCAAGAAAAAAATTAAAAGAATCTTTGATTGAATTAGAGTACTATGGTATTTTAATTTTCTATGTCAAATGTCAGTTGAGTTTAAGTTGATGATATTTCATTTTATGTTTTTACTACGAATTTATATTGTTGAATGTATATGTAAATGCAAGCATGGATTTTGCATATCATACAATAAAAATACTTACAATATCATGATTTTTAAAATTTATGAAGTTTTAAGTGCATACCAAAAGCATCAGGTGATATCAAGTTCAAGAAATTGAGTCCACACTTTTAAATTCTACTTACTGTACTAAGTTGCAGATCCAGGTTAGTTCCACCAACAAATCGTTTGTATGTCTTAACTCTGGGATTTTGTTTGAAGTTTGTATGAAAGTGCTGTATGCAATGAAAATAGCTACATAAACACGTAACACTTTCTTTACCTATTGCAAGAATTTCAAAGCTGCAAAATATCTATTGGACTTTGTCAAAGTTGGACATTTATGTCAAAGCAGTCAAGGGACTCTGAAATGAGCCACCCAGATAATCTGATTTGACACACATATAGATTGTACAGATGACCAATTGCATTATTTCTTTAAGCAAAAGTAATCATTAAAATAATTCTTCTATATGACAACACGCGTAACAGATCTTCAATGTGCCTCTGGATTTAGATTAGCTATGGCCTAGAGTCTAGTTTTTTTTTGCAAATCAGGAAATCTGTATGGCCAGTTATTAGGGTTAAATTCTCATTACTGGAAAATACAAAGTTTTGTAGCTTTTGAATATGATCTAATTAATAGGTAAATTTTGAATACTCGCCAGTAAAAATGGTTAAAACGCCCAGTGCTCAAACTCTACTGGAGTCGATTTAAAATATCAAAGTTACGTGTCGGTAACAAATTACAGTTTCATAAATACAACTTTTCAGAAAAAAATACAGTTATGAACCACTCTGTATACATTACACGGTTTCCTAGTTAAACATCCGCTACAATGATTGGCCTGTCATTTATTATTTAAAAAAATCGCCTTTAGTTTCATTTTCTTTTGTAACAACCACAAACCAGGTAATTGTTCAGCTCGGAGTTTATTCTTGCCCGTATGGCATGTGGAAATGCATCGTTAAAAACCAAAACAGTGTCGTTGGCAAAGCTGAAATATCCATTCACTAATTATTGGTGTAAAAGCCCATTACAAATACATATTTGCCCGGTCAGTAGTTTGTTTTCAGCATCAACCAGTCGGATCCTATAATTTCAAACACTGTGTATTTTATGTCTTTTATAATATCGATAGAAGTATCGCTTGGCCTCCCCTTCAGACAAGAGAGTGGTGCACCATTTCACTCTCGTTTTCAAAAAACACATTTATTGCATTTTGAAATGGAGCCTTTGGTAATTCTAAACACTTTGTTATTTTAGACTTTATCTCAAAGAAAAATATTAACATTGACTATTTTGTTCCCCGTTAGTGAGAGTTTATTTAGACTATTAGATCACCTTTTAAAACATTGATATAATTTATTTCAGATGTCGAAATATTGCAAAGCTACTTTATATTCATATGTTGGGTTATCCAGCACATTTTGGACAATTAGAGTGTTTAAAGTTAATAGCTAGCACAAGGTTTACCGACAAAAGAATTGGATACTTGGGTGCTATGTTATTATTGGATGAAAAACAGGATGTACATTTACTGATTACAAACTGTTTGAAAAAGTAAGATCCATTTTTTGTGTAGTGTGTAATCTTTATTGCTAATCTTCATTTTCAGTGACTTAAATTCGACAACCCAATTTATTGTGGGGCTGGCTCTGTGCACTTTGGGAGCCATTGCTTCACCAGAAATGGCCAGAGATTTAGCAGCTGAAGTAGAACGGTTAATGAAATCACCTAATGCTTATATTCGTAAAAAGGCTGCATTATGTGCATTCCGGATTATAAAAAGGGTACCTGAATTAATGGAAATATTTCTACCGGCTACTAGGAGTATGTTATCAGAGAAAAACCATGGCGTTCTGATTACAGGAGTAACATTGATTACTGAAATGTGTGAAAATAGTCCAGACACTTTGAGTCACTTTAAAAAAGTATGTTAGAAATAATTTGAACAATTTTGTTAGTTTTATTTAGTATAAAAATTCTACATATTGTTCTCAGCAAACTTTTTATAATGAAATGTGTTTTGTTAGTTTTGTTTCATGCCAATCCACAGAATAGCAAAAAACCATTGCATTTCAAGGATGAAACTAAAAGCAAATAAAAAGTTATCATTACCTTTTTATCATTATCATTTGAAATTAATTTTTCTAGGGATTTTTATGAAAGGTAATGGATATATTTAATGAAATTGAATTTTACAATAAATATGAATACAAGACAGAAACCAAACCCAGCCATAAATATAGCTTTTGAAATGGAACTCTAAGCTATCAGATAAAGTGTTTTTTATTTATATTATTTTCTTTATTGTATTGATGTTAGGTGAGGTTAAGTGTATTGTATGAAATGTCATTATTTCACTTTGTATTCATTAGGTATGTAGAGCTAGGTAAAAAAAAAACGCCAGCTTGGAGTGTAGATTAATTATTTTGTTGAGGTTCCAATTGCTTCTTCTTTCTCTCCTTTTTCTTCTACAAAAAGTACACATCTTCACAGATAATGACAATAAAGAACTTCTTAAAATTTGCATGTTGCTTATTTATACATCTGTAGTTATTAGGAGTGCTGTAATTTGTTTCCTGATGCATATTTTGTATATTTGGATATATTGACTTCTATGATAAAATATTGCTTGTAGATATTGTGTGTATTATATATATTGTTTACCTTTAATTTTTCAGATAGTTCCAAATTTAGTGAGAATATTGAAAAACTTAATACTTGCTGGGTATTCTCCAGAGCATGATGTGTCTGGTGTGAGCGACCCTTTTCTGCAGGTAACATTATTATTTAAAAACGTAAAATTTAGCTTCTACCAGCTGATCATTTTTCTATATTTTGCTGTAAGTTGAACATAAGGTGTTTTAGTTTTTTAATGTGAACTCAACAAGGAACAGCTGAAAAAATGTTGTTTACATGTTGCAGGTTAAAATATTAAAGCTACTGCGTATTTTGGGCATGAATGATACTGATACTTCAGAAGCAATGAATGATACCTTGGCACAAGTTGCTACCAACACTGAAACAAGTAAAAATGTAGGAAACACTATTTTATATGAGACGGTTTTATCCATAATGGATATAAAATCAGAAGGCGGATTGAGGGTAAGTGAGTGAATAATTTGAATATTTTTGTCCGCTAGCCAAAAATCTATTAAAACTATTGTACTCTTTTAGGTTTTAGCGGTGAATATTTTAGGCCGCTTTCTTTTAAATAATGATAAAAATATTAGATATGTAGCACTAAACACACTTTTAAGGACAGTGCACGTTGATACATCAGCTGTTCAAAGACATCGTTCAACCATATTAGAATGTCTTAAGGATCCAGATGTATCGATTCGTAGACGAGCAATGGAGTTATCATTTGCCCTAATTAATTCCCAAAATATTAGAACTATGATAAAGGAATTATTAGTATTCTTGGAGAAGGCTGATCCAGAATTTAAGGCTCAATGTTCCAGTGGCATAGTATTAGCTGCTGAAAGGTTTGCGCCAAATAAAAGATGGCATTTGGATACTTTATTCAAAGTGCTTGTGGCGGTGAGTGGGCAAAATTTAGCAAAAGTATTTTGTCAGGCAGCGAAATACTTTTTGTTTACATAAATCTGGTTAAAAATAGTTTTATTTCTATTTTTTAATGTAATGCCTGCCTGTTTTTTGACCAACTTTTAAATTATGAATTTAATTTGTATTTGGAAAGTACTTAAATAAATTCATTTTTTTTTACACTATGAAAGACCTTGAGGAATATATTTTGTTCTTTTATATCATTTATTATGCTAGTACCTATTTATCCTTATTTGAGTGATAAGGCAGGTGTGGGTCAAAACAGGCTGTGAAAAACTTTAATCAGTAGAGGACTTATTCATCAAGAAGCTTTAAAAGAAACCTGTCTACTTACAAAAATACCAGTATCGTCAATAAGGTATATTATAAATATTTAGAATATATATAAATATTCCTAACTATGAATTTATTGTATATATTTAATGTCATTGTTTTTGCTTTAACTTTCTTAAACTAATCCAATATACCTGCCCTTAAACACTGATACTATTCTCAACTATTTTCAAATTTAATACATATTATTCGAATTTTTGTATAAGCAATTTGTTTATTTATATTTATTTAAAATTATATTAACTATCTGCATGACATGGATATTTTTTTTGTTTGAATTTCTTGAATTTCATGTTAATTTTAAGGAGTCTAACATGAAAGAAAATTTTCTTATTTGGGGGTATTACAAGTCATTTTGATGGACTTGCTCATTTCGGTTATTAATACCACCTTAAACTAATCCAATATTCCAATCCAATCCAATAGTCCTTAAACACATACGATTTACAACTATTTTCAAATTCAACACATGTTATTCTAATTTTTGTTTAAGTAATCCATTTAATATGTTTGACACAGAAATTTTTTGGGCTGAACCGAATCTTTTTGATTTCAGTTTCATTCAAACATAAACTGTAAAAATTGATCTGTCCATAAACACTATCACGCCCCGACTTTTGGATCATTTGTGACTCGACAAAATTTTCTTAAATAAACAAAAAATTCCTCATCCAATTTTAATAATTAGTGTACCCACAGCCTATATAACTTTCGTGAAAAGTCTAGACAGATTTCTTTACACCAAATTGCTGTTTTATACAAAAAACCTTCAACGTCTTTTTCCAAACTCGTTAAATTGATTTTTAATTAAAAATCTTTATTCAATTTGCAGGCTGGAAATTATGTAAGAGACGATGTAATAGTTTCTACAATTCAGCTGATATCAGAAAGCACAGATCAGCAATCATATATGACCCACCAACTGTATAAGGCTCTAGCAGAAGATCTTCAAAATAGGCAGCCTTTAACTCAGGTTGCCGTGTGGGCAATTGGTTAGTTTTGTTGGCTTTCAGGACACTATTCATTTAACAGTTTCTTTATCAAAAGCAAAGCGCAGTATGTTTTGGTTACGTTAAGAAATACTAAGAGATTGTCAAACTTCCATTGTCTTTACGAGTAGTGATACATCTGATCGAAAATAAAGACAATGAAAGTTCAACAATCTCTTAATATTTCTACTGAATCATGCTCTACCACTTTCAAGAAAACTTTGGGATCTAAAATTAATTGTAGTTAAAGTACTATAAAGAGACTGTTGTTCCGCTGATTCTTTCTGGGGGAAAATTAAAATAAAACAAATTATAAAAAATTAAATTAAATTAAATTTATTTCTATACCAGCCCATATAAAAGAAAAGTTGTTATTTTTTTTCTTTGGAAATTGAATAAATTCATTTTAATTAAGGAAATATAGGATATGCCTGTTTTATTAAAATTAAATAAAATAAAACTGTAAAAGAAGGAAAAAATAAAATATTTCCGTAGCTATAACACATTTTGTTAGGCCTTAAAATGTGAAACTTTGTCCAATTTAGTTTTTTCTTGACTTTATTCTGATTTTTGTGGATAAACATTTTAGGGGAATATGGCGATCTATTGCTGCAGACATGTAACAATGAAGAATCTGGCATGGAACGAGTGTCTGAAGAAGAAGTTATAACAATTTATCAAAGACTTCTATGGTCTCCTCAAAACAGTCCTACCACAAAACAATATGCATTGATGTCCATTACAAAGCTTAGTACTAGATTTATAAATACAATTGGGTGAGTTGAAAAAGTTCTGCGACATGCTAGTGCCAGCAACAAACCCCTGTGTAGTTTAACTTTAGTGTAAATGCATTTTCTAAGCTATGTTCCTCGTCGCAAGTAATGTCACCAGAACTGAACGATTAAGAGTTGATAATGGTGCAATACTTTAACTGACCCGCTTTTGTTCCTTTAAAACCTGGGTGTATCTTTTTTGCACTTGAATAATATTCATTGTCTATTCTAACTAACTACAGCAAATAATTAGCAATAATTTTTTAGGGACATTTTAAATTCCATGGACTTTCCTTTTCTGTATATTTTTATGAGACTATTTTTAGACAAATTCAACAAATCATAAGGTCTTATTGTTCGAGTTTACATATTGAACTACAACAAAGAGGTCTAGAGTTCTCGCAGTTGTTTGGCAAATATGATCATCTCAGACCGGCCTTATTAGAGAGGATGCCACCCATGGAAGTTGTTCGGCAATTGGAGGATGCTCAGTCTAATGATTATATTGAACCTGAACCAAAATCAGGGGAGGAAAGCCCACCTGATAGTGTTGAATCGGTAGGCACACTTTTTCCCTAAACAGTGATATCAAATGCACTTAGTAAGACTTGTGGCAAGTTGTTGGCCTATAGAGTACCTGCAAGTTAAATGATTTTTCTAATTGCAAATAGTAGTACAAATATGTTCCATGCTATTATGTTTGTATGCAATGAAAACATTATAGTTTTATCAGGTCTATAACTTTATTTTTATTTACAACTAACAATTTGTTTTGTGACATTTTATTTCAATAGTATTGTAATCCATAAAATTATATCTTTTAGAGTGCATTATTAGATCTGCTTGGTACTGATGATATAGACATAATTAAATCGACATCTCAACCACCTGCGCCTCAACCTGTCTTGAATTCTAATCAGGATTTGTTAGATCTATTGGGACTAGGACCATTAGGAAATGAAGCTACAACGAATGGGACAGGCAACAATATAGGACTCATAATGGAGAATAATAATTCCAATTTGTTTCCTGTAATAAGCAATCATAATTCCAACTTTTTAAGTGAGGATATATTTAGTAATGATCTGAGAAATGAGTCAGTTAATTTGTCTTCCTTAACGGCATTTAACAAAGATGGTCTCAAAATTTTATTTATGTTTGAAAGAAATAAAGAAAATAGTACTGTAACAATCAATGTGACTGCTCTCAATGAGACAAAGTTAACCATGACTGAATTTTTATTCCAAGCGGCTGTTCCCAGGGTAAGATAGTTTCTATAAATAAATTTCTTGTGCACATAATTTCTTTTATTTTTAGACATTCCAAATACAAATGTTGTCACCATCAGATACAGTATTACCCTCAAATGGAAAAATAACTCAAATCTTGAAAATTACAAATCCGACACAGGTAAGTTGTGGCTACTTTTCGCTATTTTCGTTTTTGAGATACATCGCATATAATATATTGAAAACAAAATTAATGTAAATTAAATAAGTGATTATAAGATCTTTAACATTTAAAGATTTAATTCAGCTAATTACCTAATTACAGTTTTTAATTAAAGTTCATTGTTATAAAATTGTTTTTTTTTTTTTAATAGCTGTATAGTGCTATATTTTTTTGGAAAGCTCCCATGATTATGAGTGTGCTGATTAACTTAAACATATTTCAACATTTTCAAGAAAAAAGGGACTCGAGAAATTAGGAAAATGGAAATTGTGATACCACTCATGTACTTGGGAGTCAATTTTCCCAAAATATTGTTTTGTGTTGTAAACTCGTTTATCATTATCACCAAATAGAACATCAAATTTTGATCCATCACAAAAACTTTTGGTTTAGTTGGACCTAGATAAATTCCCCATTTTCTTTTACCATTTAATAAACATTTGATTTGTTTTTTGAGGAAAAGAATATATTTTAAAGGTCAATATGTAATGTCATTAAAATTATGTCGCATTGTTAATATCGTCAGTCATCTAAAGCATGTCACTATCCCTTTCTTTAAGTTCTTGAGTAAAAAGCACAAAAATACTAGAATTAACCGTAGCATAAGCTGCAAGTTTTTCTACATGCTGGAAGTGAATTAAGTGTTAATTAATATTCATTCATTTTAGAATGTATTGAAGATGAGAATACGGGTGACTTACACTGTAGATGGTAATCCAGTTGTTGAACAGACAGAAGTTAATAATTTTCCATCTGATTTGTGGGAATGACTACTGCAAACAGCTATGTAAGGAAGTTATATTACTGATTTTGTTTTTTGTTATTGGATGTAAATAATACGAGAGAAATTATATCATTTGAAATACGTAGTCCTTCCCTATATTTTTGTTAAGGTTTAGTGAGATTATCTGAACTGTAAATAATTTTAATATTCTGAGTACTTAATTAGATTTAAATATAAAAGCTAATTTTGTAATGCTAGTGATCACTGAAATCTTGCAGCAATGAAAAATGTCGCTGATAGCTTATTGCTTATAAAAAATGCCCTATATTTCCTTCAATTTTATCTGTTAAAAATCACAGAAATTTTAATAATTTGTAAAAAATGTTCTTGAATTTGCAGTTGTACTCAACAAAACACATTCGCCATTTCCATTTCTTAAAGTATTTTAATTAATTACAATATGTAGATAATGAAGGGGTTTCTGATATATCCGAGAACAATACCTCAGTTTTGAAGAGAAGTTGATTTTATATTTTATATTTTGTACTGAACTTGGTGGGGAGAATTTACAATGTAATACATATTTATTTGTAAGAATTTTGATGATGGGGTACACACCTTGTTGTAGATTTATATGCAACCTTCCATAATGATTTATTAATTGGGAACACGCCATATATTATTTGATTTTTGAATTCTCTTCGTATTTTTTTTTTAATTATGTGCAAGGTAATTTTCCATATACCTTTCTTTTCTGATATTAATATAGAGGTGCAAATCAAGAGTTGTTTGCGTTGGGTATTTGAGAGGCTATTTCATTTTGCATTTGAAGAAAATTGATAAACTTATTTATTGGCCATGTTTAGATCGAATTTTAGACAGCAGTGATTCTTCTTCTGCTGCAGTTTTTTGTATTTATATTATCTCAAAGGTTCACACACAGAGATTGAAATAATGATCAAATATATCAAAGTCAATGTTAAACATTGGTTTATTAGAAAGTTGTACACAAAATATCTCTACAGTTGAAAAACAATTGACAACAATTTACAAAAGAGTCTTTAAAATGTTTTTATATGGCTCTAAATTGATATAAATATTCTTATTAAACTTTTCAATACATTTTAATCACATGGTCTAGCAAACTTTATACACAATAGTTAGACTCTCACTCTCCATATATTAGAGCATCAGGGAGGATGGGCTATTTTTTTACATTGAAGTATAGACACTTTATATACCTAAATAAATATACAAAATACAATCAAAATAATGTAAATTCTTGGAATAAATGACGAAAAGGCGAGGTCCAGGATTGTGGCCTCAGTGATTCATACAAATGTAATCAACTCCTTTAGGCATAATTATTAGGCAGTTTAGTTAATTTTTTCCTTATAAAGGAATTTGGTGAAGGTCTGCTCAACTATCCACAGTTTGAACATAATATTTATTTATTTATCATATTTGGAAAGGTGCCTCTACAAAATTAGATAATATACAATAATACACAAAAATAGAATATTTTAAAAATAAATCGGTGGGGTGCAATTTTTAGTATTAATAAAATACCATTAATAATATTTACAAGACCGGGTAAAACTGGAGTAAGTGATCCCTAGTACTGCATTTAGTAAAGCATTACAATTAAACCATAATGGAAATTTATTTTGCGTCCAGGTTGTATCTTCATTTTTCTTTTTTTATTGTACTATTTTTTCCTCCTATGCTTGGTATGTTCATGCTCTAATTTATAGAAAATAAATTTGTAAATATAATAGGAATGGTTTTATTTAATTGCGGTAACATATGGACATTATTTGAATGTCATAGCAGTAAAAAACAATTTTTTTATCTGGTACAACCATAACTAGATCACTCAGAAGTGATTAAAAAAATGCAAATATTTTTTTCATTTTTTTAAAATACAAATTTACTATAATATATTTTATACTATCAATAAGAAGCATATTTTTAAAAACTTGGATAAAATAACATTTTCTATAAAATTAAAATCAAGTTTTATGTCTAAAGCATGAAACCAATATATGTGTATAATTTTTTCTATTATATTATTATATTAGTTACTCTGTAGGTAGTGTACGAAAATACACGAAAAACCCTGTTACGTTATTCTAAAACGAAACGAACTTTGGTGAATATTTGTAAATAAACCACATTCCTGTTTGATTGGCGCATGCACCAAAATTTAAGTCCGTTTCGTCGTGAATTACCAACCATTATTCATTCAAATAACAAAGATCGTAACGCAAACGCGCTCGAGAATTTATGTCAAATATCAAATTAGTTGGTGTCGTGTTTTTGTCAGAGACAATTCTTGCACGCACTCATAAATAACCAAAATATCGAACGGCTGTGACGTAACTGGAGACTGTCCTTGTATATGTTTGTAAATAGAGTGAAAACACGTTAGTTTGTGATTTGTGCTCCAAATTATTTTGATTTGTTAGCTGCAGTTGAAAATTTTAATTCCACATGGAGTATCAAGAAATGTCGGTGATTGAGGAACATGCCGGAGCAGTAAGTTTATTATGACAATATTAATTTTCTAAGTATATAAATGTATAAATGTTCTTTAGTGGCCAAAGCGAAATACTCAAAAGCGGATATTATCCCTCAATTTTTCCAATAAGTAGATAAAGGATTATATTAATGTTAGTCTTAAATAAATTATTTTTTATGTTTGCAGACAAAAATATTTAATTAAGAGGCGCTTTTGGGTTATATGATATGAAATAAAATGGAGCATGCGTGATGATAGGTAGGCCGCGCCAATTATAGAAAACAATTGCGCGCGCAATTTAAATAACTGCATGTTTAGTTTCTGCATCTGCTCAGCTAATCGACTTTATTTAGGATTTCAACTTTAAATTCCAGTTTTAAAACATTGATTATTTTTTTAACATACCTACTTCGTGTTCATTTTGATCAATTACCAGCAAATATGTATTCATTAAGTTTAAATAACAATTCTTATAGGACACTAACCGCAAATGTCATTTAATCATTTCTTTATGATCAAAACGCCGTGGCTAATTTTGCCTCTAGTATTCTCATTACTAAAAACTAGGACTGCAGAAGTATAGACACTGAGATATTTCCAATGGTAGGTATATATCTAGATATTGCTTTTTTGTTGTGTTCTTACGTCCCCTATTTTTCTCGTTATTTATAAGTATTTATTGTTATTGATATTATAAGCTTGAAAACTGCAAGTCGCGCAAATTCGCGCTTACTATAAGCATCAGGAATTCCTTTCACAATTTTATTAAAACATCAGGGTGAAGCGTTGTTGCCACTTGTTGAATAAATTTTAAGATTTATTGTATGGAAATCTTTCGCGGTAGTGCCCCCTTTAATTAATTGTAAACTCACTTCTTTCTTTCGAATTAATTTAATTAATCTTTAAATACACTAAAATACCAAAATATTCACTGATCACTCGTGCGCAAAGTGTCGCTTTAATATGCCAGCTTGTTTCGCGAGGCACTTCGAACGTTTTGGGTACTTTGACCACGAGTCTGGTAGCAATCCTCTTTCTATAGATGTTAGCCATTGATGGTACTTCGAAACTTATCAGTTCTGATAGTCACGTCACACTTCGCAGTGAATTATTTGAACCATATAGGATGCCAATAAGTTTATATATTTCTCCGCTCACTCATATCTCCTGCCAAATCAATGACCAAACAAACACAACAATCAAAAGGATACAACTTATTAGAAAAAAAAATGTTTAAAATAAAAACAAATTAATATTTTAAAAATGGATTTATGTACACTTTCTACATATTCTTACCACCCGCATGTAGTCTAGCCTCCCCCTCAAAGTCAACTAGAGTTTTAGTAATCCGGAAAATATTGATTTGAATTGAAAACGTCGTTAGGGTTGCAACTTTGAAATTTTTTTATAATAGTGGACTCGATAGTAATCCAGAGTAAACTTGGCAACGTTGCTGTCGTCGACCGATTCGCATTTACCACTAGCGAGGTTGCCGTGACTTAAAGTCCAAAATAGAAAAATACCTACTAGAAATTTAAAACTTTCCATGTACCCTTTTCTGTACCATTATCATTACAACCTTTAGCGTATGTTTTTGACTCTAGATTTGGGTAGCTTTGCGTATAATCTGAAGTTTCCTATTACTATACCTATAATGCTATGCTATAATTATTATTATGGATGAAATCTGATTTTGGATTATAGGACTTTAATTAGATTCCTTCGCTGCATTACAGAAACAGCACACGATAAAATAGCATTTAACATTTATGGGCTTCGGGTATAATAATTTGACGAAATTAACGCAAGTGGCATACAGTTATTTTTTTTTAGTAGCTAAAGTCGTTTTAGTTAGAGGTGTAGAGTATTTTTTATTTTATGGTATCGTGGTAAATCATTAAAAACGATACATTGTTGTGACTCGACAACATTGCAATACAGCACTGTGGTCGTCATTCCGTCTCTCCACATCACTGCGTGTCGGCGTTGGTTAAACTACGCATTTAAAAAGGACCAACGGTGAGCAATAAATTGTTACTAGAATTATTTTGTTTTTAAAGTTTTTTTGTCGCGGTAAAGAATAGTAAATCGTCGCTGCATTTTAAGTACGTTTCTTTTGTGATTACCAAGAAGCTCAATTGGATTATAACCATACTGACGACCTAGCTGTTCCCTTTTTTAAAATTTATTTTAGTAATTCGAAACTACTTCTTTTTTGGTCATATTACCGCGGTGTGTTTCAAACTTTGTTTAGTATGCTCTATTATGCTAACTCAGGTGGATGAGTTAAATATTAGATTGCTTCTAAACTTCATCTGAACACTTATATTAGAAGAGCTTGTCATAGCTTGACAAGGCACAACATAACGTAGTATATGCACAATTAATTATTGCACTGTAGATGTATGTAGGTAAGTGCGTAATATACCAAGTGAAATCTAAACCAACCGAAACTATAACTAAAGCGATTTTTTATATTTTTCTTCAAAAATATGTATAACTACCGAACAAAACTAATTTGGAAATATCGTTTACCACCGGTAAAAGTAATTATTTATCAGCATAATTATCATTTCCTGATGCCTTTAGTACTTCTTTTTTTTAATAAATAACCTTTGTTTTTAGTCCACCAGTAAAGATTATGTTAAATATAAACTTACGAATTTGTAATTGGTTGGATGTGAAAAAATCAATTTTCAAACAATTGGCTACGAAGGCTGGACTGTAAATTCGCAATCCAAAAATAATGTTTTTTTTTTAATAGTATTTTGACCGAGGTTTAACCTCATCAAATCTCTTAAGAAATCAAACTTCGAAAACATGGAAAATGTTTTAAAAATTTCTGTTTATAGTAGTCACAAATTTTAAGCAGATAAATAGCATTTAACGTCCTTATAAAATTAGCGTAGGGAGTTAAAAAAACCGCGGGGCGGTTTTTTTAACTAACTTAAATTTTTATCAACTATGATAAACAATTGAAACCTAATTGTAATGTTTACAAAGTGAAAGTTTTAATAGTAGTAGGATTTAATAAAAAATTGGCTTACAATTTTTTTCCTTTTGGGAAAACTTTTAGGACAAAAAAAGACGAATAGTGCATATATCAAACATTAAAAGTTTGCGTTTTAACCCTAACCGCTTACAGATCTTTCTTAATTTTCTAAAACCTTTAATATGGTATTTGGCATTAATAACACTATATAATAATATATGTACACACACATAAAATATAATTGTTAAAAACAGAAACAACAATTCTTCATTAATTCCTTAGACAAAAAAAAAACTAATTAAAATTTGTGTGGTTAAATTCTACCGAAACTATCCGATCGCTTCCAAACCAATTACCAAATACCGGAAATATCCGAAGTGGCTAGAGATTGTGGGTAATGTTTTAAAGTGATAACTTTCGGACGCTTATTAATCAATTAATTAATTAATTAAATTAAATTTAAAAAAATAAAAATGAAATTACTATACTATAAATTACAATACAAGTATGGACTACGCTTTAGGCCCATTGACCATAAATGAGAACTAAATTCAATATACAAATATTTCATGAAAAACAAATAAATTATAGTTATTTAATTTTCATTTCAGGAGGGACTCCCTCGCAGGGAATCGGGCAAGAGAGGTCGCAAACCGGGAAGAAAATCCGCCGATAAAGTTGACATGAAAGCCAAATTGGGTAGGTACATTTAGACACAAATAGTCCGTTTTGGTTATTTTTGTGATAGAGTTGAATCCTTTTCACTTTTCAGTACTTATATGAAAGAAAAAAATAAAAGTTATTGTTTAAATTTATTATTAATTCATCACGGTTACTTATATTTGCATATTCTATATATTATATAAAATTAAAAGACCTACAATTCTATACAATATTACATAAAATTAAAATACCTCTACACACAGCTATTTGGCGGAACTAATGTTATATAACTACATATAATGTTCAATTATGACTTTGAGATGTTTCCACTCTAATTCTTCTTGAAAGTTATAAATGTGGACATTTATTTATTTATTTAGAATTCGATACGATTTACCTCGCAGTGAAATGGTAGGTATAATTGTTTTGGATTTAATGCCAGGTTAATATTTTTTTTTACACATAAAAATAATCAATTAAGATCTTTTTTTTTTATTTGGGTGAACAAATCTAATCTGAAAATTCGACCCTGTGAAAATCTCCCAATAAATTAACCACTGCAATTTAAAAAAATTGCATTATTAATTTCCTAGTTTTCTCCTTTTCATTCAAGAGGAAAAGCAAGACAACAAGGTTGTGAGAATGGGCAGTCCCGAACATGCATTTTTGATAAAATAATGTAGCAAATGTATTGTTTTACAGAACGCAGTCGTCAAAGTGCCAGGGAATGTAGAGCTCGTAAAAAATTAAGATATCAATACCTAGAAGAATTAGTAGCAGACAGAGAAAAGGCAGTCTTTGCATTAAAAAAGGAATTAGAAAAGGCAAGGCGTATTATAATCATTAATAATAATTATCTCATTCTTCAATATTGGATTACAGTATCTACACTTGGCCAAGGAAATTGATGAAGGGCGAATACCTGAAGGGATACATGCACTATTGGAGGATACTACAATTGAAGATTTTAAACAAGAACTTTAACTTCCTCTTACGTATAACATTGTGATATTTGGGCTCTTTTTTGTAGTTATTTCTGTTTTAAATTAAGTAATATTACAATCTTAATACCCATTGTTAAGTAGTTATTATAAATTTCATATTATTGATATGAAAGTTTGTATTAACACACATGAAAAAATTAAAGGATGCAACATATTTTATTAAGTTTTTGTTTGTTTTATTGCCCTTAATCCATTCTGTCTGTCAAAATGAAATTGACTTTGGGGATGCAATTGTTTTATTAGGCATTATATATATATATATATATATATATATATATATATATATATATATATATATATATATATATATATATAAAGTCAAACTGTGTTACATGAAGCAGTAAGAGAAAACGCAATTTATTATTATTGTAGAGGCTTTTAATTTTTTTTATTGGTATGGATTATAGAAAAAAATTTGAAATTACAAAAGTTAATAATGGGGTGCGTGACCACTACCAATACTAAATCCAAAGTTTTAGTATTACTTACATTTTTTTCCAATAGAAATCTGCCTTCATACCGAAATTTATTGCTTTGGAAGTCAAAATAGCACAATGACAATTACTAGCAGTAGCAGACGCTCTCCAGGTTTACTGTTCTTGAATGTTCAGATATTTAATATATTTATCAGATAATATAGCCGTCCTATTACAATAAAAATTGATACGCCGATATTTTCGTATATAACGTGATGATTTTCCGCGCATGCCTCTATATGTCAAGTTATTGACCTACACCTTGCGTCATGTTTTTTCTAAACAGCGATTTCCGCAAACTTGTTTTCACAAAACATTTAGCGAGAGTTAGGCATATTTTGTCACAATACTGAATTGAAAAAGTCGAATCCAAACTTATTGACGATCTGTCAGCGGCCATGATGATTGTTGAATATCGCAATGCCATTGGGAAAAAGAGTTTAAATCTAGCGCATGCGCATTTTGAATGACTCTCTCAAAAAAAAAAGTTCATGTATTATCTGCACAGACAGGAACTCTATATCTCTAGTGGGCTATATAGGTATTCCAGGCAGCATTCCAAATCAGTTAAAAAAGTGACATTTTATTTTAAACTTTCTTTAATATTCTATGGCATTGACCGTATTGTATACGGTCTGAACTGATATGTTTATTGCATTATTCTATGGTTTGTTCTATGTTGTGGCGATATTACCACTTAATAAGTTAAAGCTAATTAGAACATACTGCAAATAGTATAATTATTTACAGAATATTATCGTAATGTCACTTCTTACAAGAAATTGTCAAAAAATTTTTATTCAAGTGAGTTGTTTTTAATTTCAACAAAATATGTTTAGGTTACAAAATCAGTGATATAACGCATGATGAATGTTAACGGTTTCTTTTTTCGTTTTTTAGACACTTCAAACAACTTCTTTAAGAAATTTTCACAGCGCATTGACCGACAAAAATGCTGCGGTATGTATGTGGCAAAATTAGTACATGAAGTTTATAGTGAAACTAAATGGTCCTTGCCAATTTTTATTTTAATTTACAGTAGAAGTTAGGTATAGATGCTTCACTTTTTGAAAAAAAGCCGTTTGATACTAAGAGCTCTCAATGTTACTAATTATCCCTGAGTGAAAAATTTGTACCTATAATTTTCTTAGAAATAGTTATTGTAGACAAGGGCATTGGATTTGCCTTTGTCTATTGGTAGTTTATATTCAGTGCCTGGTTTAACTTTCGGGTATCGAAAAAATGCTCATCCCTTGTCTCGTTTACTGCTACAGCTCTGCATCATATAATTTTAACATAATCCCATTTAAAGAAATGACACATATACCCATGAATACCTACAACCAGCGTAATAATTATTAACAGTTTAAAAGAGTACCCTTCTTCAGTTTTTTTGTATATGCATTTTTCTTAAATTAATTATTATTTTGACTGTATATTATCTAGGATAATTTTAAATGTTTAAACTTACTTAAATTGCTATTTTATTATCAGGTTCTAAGCAAACAGTTTATAAAAGGCATTTCATACTTTCATATTCAGATATTATAATTGTAAAATAAAAAAATAATATTCCCTATTTATATTTATACAAAATTCATTTATTTCATGCTTTATATGAAGGTACAATATGTGCCCCCTTCCTCAAATTTTTGAAAAAGTTCGGTGTAAATCAGGAAAAAGGAAGATAGGTAAGCGAATCTCCACAAATTCAACCTTATGTTTTGCTAACCAGATACTTGCTACAAGTTGCTCTCAGGACAAACTAATTATGTATATTTAGCCATACTCAATTTGTGTTAAAAATAGATAAAAACTGTCAATTTTTGTTATTTTACTTATTTTAGGATATTATCATAGTGTGGGACCCTTGAATTAATAAAATTAATTGAATTGAATTTAATTTGGTTTAATATGACTGTTTTTGTAGCAGCATATTGAAGAACGACCTGACAGTAGGATAAAAGCCACATTGATTCCTGGAGATGGTGTAGGGCCAGAGCTAGTATATTCAGTCCAAGAAGTTTTTAAAGCAGCAGGTGTTCCTGTAGATTGGGAATCATATTTCTTTTCTGAAGTCAATCCTTCTTTGAGCGCACCATTGGAGGAAGTTGCTAGGTCTATTAGTAAAAATCGGGTTGCACTGAAAGGAATTTTGGCAACACCAGACTATTCCCATACAGGGGAATTACAAACTTTAAATATGAAATTAAGAAATGCATTGGATTTATATGCTAATGTGGTTCATGTTAAATCACTACCAGGCATTAAATGCCGTCACAGCAATATTGACTGTGTTATTATCAGAGAACAGACGGAGGGAGAGTACTCCGCTCTTGAACATGAGAGTGTAAAAGGTGTTGTGGAATGTTTAAAAATTGTTACAGCCAAAAAATCCCAAAGGATCGCCAAATTTGCTTTTGATTATGCTATTAAAAATAATAGAAAGAAAGTCACTGCAGTGCATAAAGCCAATATTATGAAACTGGGAGATGGACTTTTTTTGAGAAGTTGTGAAGAGGTAACAATTTTGCAGTTTGTTTTAATAAAATTGATGAGTTTAAATTAATTGTTTTTATGTTTAAGATTAACAACAAAAATTGCATGAAGCAACTTCTAAGTTTGTAGCTTTGCATTTTTTTGATCAACTGCCTAGCCTCTTTTCAAAAGAAAATGCCGGAATATACCATGAAATTTTCTCAGAAATCCAAAAATGAAATAAAATATCCTATGTATCATTTGAAATAAAAAATTAAATGCTGTAAGATACTCATGAGATACCCTGCATAATGATAATTATTTTCATTGCATGCAAACAACTTATATTTTGGCTAGGCTATATTTAAACGTTTTAATTGGTTTTTGTACCAAAATCGTCATTGATTAATTAGTCTGTGCTGTGTGCATTTTTGGTAATATTTTATCATACAAATTTTATGAAAAAACTTGTAAAACTATTAACCATCAACTTATAAAATACCTCCTTTTTGTAAGTTTGATGTAATATGTAGACAGGAGTTTATCAACTTTTTCCAAATACAATTTGTACCTTTTTGCAGATGGCAAAGTTGTATCCTAAAATTGAATTTGAAAAAATGATTGTGGATAATTGTACAATGCAAATGGTTTCTAATCCACAACAGTTTGATGTCATGGTCACACCCAATCTCTATGGCAACATAGTAGACAATTTAGCCTCTGGTCTTGTTGGTGGAGCAGGCGTGGTATCTGGCTCTTCTTACTCCGCGGAAAGTGTTGTATTTGAACCAGTAAGTAAATGTCCTCTTTTTTAACTGAATGGACTGGAATCCTGCAAATCCTGCAGACGTTTCGCCAAAATCTCACTTGGCATCTTTAATGCTCGCGCTCCGAAAACACTTCGAACACTGCAGGATTCTAGTCGGAGTTCAACGAGCGAACGGATGATATCCCAGAATATAGTGTCATCATGTATATATATATATATATATATATATATATATATATATATATATATATATATATATATATATATATATATATATATTACAAAACCTTCAACTTGAAACTGGGATTATACAGAAATTAGCAACAATTTGAAACAAGTTGCATGTCGTACTTATTAATGTAAAAAATGTGTGTGAAAGTCAATTTTTCATTACAGAACAATATAACTTATACTATATGTAATATATGTTAGGACTGAGCAGTCTAAATCGTTATATAAATGCTGTTTGAATCCCTTATAAACAAACAAGCCATAATCCTTTGCAGTCAGTAAACCTTTGGCGAACTCGACACTGACGAGAAATACCTATCCTTTTCTGGTTTACCATTTTTGGTCCAGTCGCACTATTCCAACTTCTATAATTTCTGATTGCTGATTTTTTCCCCAGGGAGCCCGTCACACATTCTCAGAAGCTGTTGGAAAAAATGTCGCCAATCCTACTGCAATGTTGCTTTGTGCATCAAAACTGTTGCGACATGTAAACCTGCCCTTTTATAGTGAAATGATTAGAAATGCGGTTGAAAAAGTTCTGCAAGATGGTAAAGTTCGTACAAAGGATATTGGTGGACAATCCAGTACTCAAGAGTTTACATATGCTGTTATTGGAAGTCTCGAATTACCAAAAAATTGATAAAAACTGGTAAATATTTTTCTAGATCTTACTATGCTTAGGGATTAGCTGCTGATTGTTTTGACGCGTAATTTATATAATTTTATAAATGCTCCTTTACTAAATATAAGATGTAATTTGCATAAAAATTATCCAAAAGTTTCGCAAAACAAAACGATTTATTGTTGTGTTATACTTATTTTAAAAATGCAGACCATTTAGTATTATTGTATATTTCCTGTTATTTATATTTGTTGTTATGGACCTGAGTAAATTATGCAGTGTTGTTACATGTGTGGTTTTATTTTTGTAAAAGTAAAATTAATGTTTAATTGCTTTTTAATTAATTAATTTAGATAATTTACACTTGTCGCCTAAATTTGTTTTTTAAAAAAAGTGTGTATTTCCGAGATAAATCTTAATGAAAAATTTAAAAATTCCGAGACAAGGTACCTTGTAAATCACAAAGTGTATCTAAAAATTTGTAGTTGCTATTTTTTAATATGTTAATGTATAATTTAATTGAAGTAAAACAAACTTCAATTCGCTCAAAAATAAATAAGTACAATTTTTTCTACATTTGTCGGGTAGGGCAATGAAGGCTATGTTATTAAAAACGTTTTGAAAATGTGCCTATGTCTGAGTTATTTAAAAACTCGCTTTCAAGCAATAAGACCTTAGGCGTCCTACATCCAAAATAGGTTCGCATATTGCCATACATTTTGGATGGCATATGAGACAATTCTCGATTTTTACTGAAAATGACATTTTCTTGACTTATAAAGTCGTAAGTCAAAATGACAGCTTTTCATAATTTCTTTTCCTAGACAACTGGCGGTAAGAGAGTTTTGGTCGCTGTGGTTTTCTGCCTGTCACTATTCAAAAGACGCGTTTCTTAGAAGTGTTACACTACTCTATAAAAATAATAAACGGAAACTATGCCATTTTGACTTATGGAAATGCCATTTTCCACAAAAATAAAGAATTGTTTCATATAATCCAATCCCAAATTTCATTGCAATATAAAAAATATTTAAAAACTTAGAGGGGTGTGCGACGGACTTTAGGTTCTCACTCTATGAAGGGACTGCCCAATGCTGGTAATACAGGAAGTTTTGAAGCGACCATAAAAGTAATTATTGAGATAGGACATTTAGTATGCGCATTTCAAATATTCAAAATGATGCTCCTTGTTTTTTCGAAAATTCGAAACCTTCGTATAGCTTATTATTTGGAAATTAAATTTATAATTTATCAGTCATGTAAAAGTAATTTTAAAAAATCTAACGAAAAAAGGAAAAATCCTGTCTTCATAGGCTTAGGTACTCAAAATGAAACAATTGAAAAATGACTGCAGTAAACATCTGGACCACAGTAAGCAACAGGTGTCTAGACTAAACCCAAGAATTGTAAACCTAATAGGATTGCCTAATCCGTCCGCAAGTGCAATGCGAAAACTCGCTGACTGTGACGTAGCTAAGTCCTATATTGGCGCGTTTACTATTTGAATGCATGGAAGTAATCTGAAATTGACCCGAGTTTGGATGGACTTTGAGTATTTTGAGTAGCTAATATAGCATTTTGTTTGGATAATCACTCGTTATTTTCATTTAATGTCAACATTAAATCGTTTTAGTACTTATTTAATAATTATTGGCAAGTAGCGTAGGGCAGGGTCAAATAATACTATTCCAATCAAGTTTGGCTTTTATGTATTATCTTGAAATACATATATTAATTAAATATTGTTACACATAAATACATAAAACTAGCCAACAAAACGATTTACTTATAAAACTTTGTGTTTTACAGCATTCTACCATTTTAAATATACAAAAATCAACAAATACTCATAAACTAGAAATCCCTATTTTTAGATATATTAAAGAACACATTACAAAACAAAAAATATATTAGGCATACATAAAAACTATTTATATGTGGTAGGTAAATAAGAATATGTATTTATATGTACCCTCCTATGTACATATTTTCTATTTTTTTTCTGCAGGTTTCATACTTAGCTTTATAATTCATTATTTGGGTTTAGGAGATGGGTTCTGGAGATGGATTTTTCTCTAGAATTTCACTTGTGGCATTCAATGTTGCTAAAAGCTCAGACAATAACTGCTGTGCTCCTTTTTTGGCATTTTTGGAATGAAGTCTTTTTGATCTAGATAATCCTACTTCTGTTGGTGGCTTCTGATTAAATAATAATAGGGTGGGAAGAGCAGTTTTTCTAGAATTTTTTTTTAAAGGTAAACCTAAAATTTAAATTACCCAAGACAAAAAAAAACCTAATAACTCATTTTGTAAGTCTCTTTCGTAATCATTTTCAGTAAAATGAACTGGGCAGACATAGCTTTTATCTGGATTAAGTTTGTCCTCTCTTCTACATCGAACTATTCACTCATTCCGAATAGTTCGGGATACTAGATCAGTAGTTTTCATCCCTTTGCGAAAGCGATGAAAACTACATTTTCGAGAACTTGCTTTTTCATTAAAATAGTTGTTATTGCACCCATACATGGCACATCTCGTTCCATCGCGTTTGATTTAACTTATCCCACTGAAAAAGGTAAAGGTTACCTTTATTATGTGCAATATTTTGAGCTTACCTCCTAACTAATAACACCGCTAATAAGCAGCACAAACACAAACCTTTCAAGTCTTTGTTTAAGGTTAAAAATACTGTTTTTCTCAGTTCTCGCCACTCAAGCACATACAATTTTAAAGTATTTGTTAAAGCTTAAAGCTATTTTGTCCAAGTTTTTTTTACATAATTACAATTAACACAAACATAAGCGCACTACTCACTAGTTTAAATTATTTTAATTGTTCAAAGAACACAAAATACAACGGTTTAATACACCTTCAAATGCATTGACAGAATACACAAAACCCGTTAAAGGACTTCGCTACGTCACAAGCGACCACGTGCGATCGATAATTTTGGCGAATGTGGTCTTATGGGATTGGGCAAACCTTAGGTTTACGATTCTTCGATTAATCGAAATGCAACTTTGATCCTTTTAAAACTTTTCGGGCAACCTGATATTTGAAAACGCCATATTCCAGAAGTATATCTTTTTTTACGAATTTTGGCTACAATATTCGGTCCCGCTTGGTACGAATAAATAACGGTTTACAAATAACCCATGCAATTTATTTCGCGTGGGCCAGCGACGTCACAGCAGCAAAAAATTAATTGACGATGCATAAACTAACCAGAACTACCTTCTTTAATTTACCGTTTTACTTCGAACTAAAAATAATTAAATTCGAACACCAAACTAACCAAAACTATTTTCAAGATTCTGGCCGATTACTTAATAGATAAAGCGCAATACGCCAACATAGAACGGTAAGCTCCAATTCAGGTTAGTTTTGGGGAATATTGTTGTTCCATCACAGTGTAAAAGTCGGTTTTGTATTGATGATGTGAAGTTTGCCAGTGTTTACAAAATAAATAAATGGTCTTATTAGAAACAACTTTCAAATGGGGGGAAGTGAATTGTCAATGTGAAGAATAACTAGAACATATTAAATTGGTTTATTCCTAGTTTATATGGCATTTACAGAGGAATGAATTATTACAATTAAAGTTAATAAAACGTGGGAAAAGTCTATTTATTAGTAAAGTCTTTTCAATAATTCTAGGTGTTGATGCCAGTTCCTGCAAGTAGATCATGTAGGACATCATGTTTAAATGTAACAGGGCATCTGTTGCAATTCAGTATGTATAAACCTCCTCAAAATTCAAATCGTGTTAAATCTATAAGGAGTAAGTTTGAAGAAATTGAAAATAAAAAAGCAACGGATCCAGTAAATTTGTTAAATAATAAGACTATAGCAACTTCCTTGAAACCGAGCCTGAAACAGAAAAAACAAAATTCTGCAGAGGCTTCGAATAAGCAAGTTTTAAATAGGCAGTGGTCAGATCCTGCAAGAAGAAATGTGAAAAGAACACCTGCATTTCGATTGGACAAAAATTCAGAAAGCAATTGTGACTACAATAGAGGTGTGTACAACAGAAATACTTTACTGGAAAACAAGATTAAACAATTCAATAATGTTGGGAAAAACTGTGATGCTGGTAAAAATATGATACAAAAATCTGTTGTCAGTGATGACAAATTTTCTAATACAGTAAATGCTACCAGACCTATTTTATTCAAATCAAAAAGTTCCCTTAATTTCCAATATAACAATGAAGATCACAAGGAGCAGCAAATATCAAAAATAAGCAAAATTGATAATTCAGATAATGTTTTGCTTGAGGGATTGGATTTATCTCTGTTATATACTGAGCCTATTCCAAAATTTTTGAGACATGTTAAGAAAATAAAGGAAGCTGTAGAAGTGCACCAAAATGGAATAGATAACATATACAACAAAAGTACTCTAAAGCTAACAGATAAAAAGGAGGTGTTGAATTCTTTAAGGGAAACTGATTTATCAGCAGGTTTGACTAATTCATTGAAATCTGCTTTGGCAAAACCACTACCATGTGGTCCTGCACCTAAGAAGCCTCCTAGAACATTTCAGCATCCTTTGGGTTTAGTATCACCAAATAATTCGCAAAAAAATACTACATTTTTACTTGAAAAAACAAATGAAGAAAAAATAGTTAACTCCAAAATAGTGGCCAATCAGATACCAGTACCAAAAAAACTTGAAAAGTCTGATCCAAAATATATGTTGAATAAATTAGAAAATGCTCTCAAAAATAACAAGTTGAGGGTACGAAGGCAAGAGAATATTGAAATTTACAGCACCTCTGGCGAAGATAGTGATGAAAGTATTTTGTTTTCTAGTAAATCAAGTTGTGCCTTGACAAAACTGCCACATACCCACAGGACAACCCCAACAAAGTGTTGTAAACCACAAATGTCTGAGTCTTTATTAGGAAGTTTTAATTGTTTTAATGGAAGAAGTTGTACTAAGCCACCATATGCTAGAATTAAAGAACCAAGTTCCTCATTTTTTGTGTCAGAAGATAATATCCTGGAACCTCTCTATGCCGAGCCATGTCATCTTCGAAAAGATTCCAACCAAGACCAAACGTGTGGAAACAAAAATTTATATTATATGGTGAGTTATAGGAAAATATAAAAGTTTTTTTGGTCAATCCTATAAATCTATAATACATAAGTAGCAATATCTTGAATTGTGAGGGTTGCCCTCCAATCCTAGTAAGATTATTATATCTGATTTATTTTATAGTATATGTTTGTGTAGATTCATAATCTCTATTGCAATCTCCAAAGTAAATTGCATTGGTTTGGTTAGTTGAAGCAAATGTTCTGTTCTATATATTGCAAAATCTGGCAAAACTAAATACTGGCAGGAGATGCTTGTTTCACAAAACTGGAACGGTTAATATTAAAAGATATTGATATCACCCATGATTGTTTTATTTGTTCTATTTATTGTTTAATTAATTTTAAATTTCTATGAAATAAAATCGGTGATAATCAACATACAATAAAATACAAGGTTTGCCACGGTAGTCGTTTGTTAAAATTTGACAAAAAGTTAGGAAAAGTCTAGAATAGTCGTTTGAAAATACGTACTGGAAGTCGCCATTCCTTAAGCTTGATTTCAATAGTTTTTAAAGTAGCTGGATTATTTTGCATATTTTAAAATATGTAACAGTATTTTTAACAATATTTTAAAAACTAATAAAACGGACCAACTCAACTTTTAACGCATTGACTTTTATTGTTTTAAATTTAGCAAGATTTTGCAATAAATTTAAAAATTAAGGTAAATAGAAACAATTGTTTTCACTTCCCGCATCTAAATCCGAGAGCAAATTACATTTGCTTCTTTATAAAGGAGATTCTGTAATATAATTCATAATGTCCCGAGCAATAATACGTAAACCCGGGTCTCCTCTAATGCAACACATGTCGACGACATTGTGACTAACTTTCGTTACCTATTTTTATATTCATAAACATAGTCGAGAAATGTGGATCGTGTCCATCAAAGAAATATTTCATTTATTGACTAAAGAGGTAAAATTCATTTAGTGCTTGGCAACATGTGGAAAATAAAAGAATATTTTTTATTTTCCTCTCAATTGCTTTATTACTCTTTATTTCTGTTTTTGTGGGACTGATATTTGTCTATAAGTATTCTGGTTTTTTCACTGGTCCACTCCATACAAAATTCATTTACAACTTGAAGGTAAGTAAACAAAATGAAGCATTGTAAACCGCACGTACAAGTGACAAAATATACTTAAATATACCCAAGAAAGTGTCGTCGACTTTACTGAATTTTCAGCAACACTAGTTGGCAACGCGATCGCCTACAAAAGTTGCTTTGGTGGAGGCCCGGGTTAATACGTTTAATAATTTATTATCGAAATACAACGTGCATTTATGCATCCTACAAAAGAAGTCCCTGATAACATTTTCATGTTAATTACTGAATTAATATCGTTCGAGAGTTAACTTTAAACAAAACCAGTTCGATTAGCTCTAATGTAAATATTCGTCGGCGTTATGGAACATATTTAGTGCTGAAACAGTTTATGCGTACAGTATCAATATCACAACATTTGCATATCTATTCGGCTATTCGCTGGTTCTGATACTATGATTCGTCATATACATACGGATTCATAGCATTTGACGAGAACAACGAAATTGCGTACTGATTCTAACCATCACACAGTTACGTACACAGAAACAAACTATTACATTCGGCAGCAACCTGGTGATATTTACACTAGACAACAGCAGTAATCTGCCCGTATGATATGTAAATAATAACAGCAGCACCCTGCCCATACGTTGAGTAAGAGTTGATAACGGCATCACTCTACCAACAAATTAAAACAGCAGTACCCTGCTAACAAATTTTGGAAACTGCGACTTTATCTGACAGCTGTCAGATTCATTCAATTATTATTCATTGTCAAACTTCGAATTACTATTGCAATTCTACAATGCCGTCTTAATGTGTCAATGGCTACTATTGTTTTTACATTTCTATAACCTTTAAGGCTCTTTATGCTCCTAAATTTTTACTTTGTCACTACCCAGCAACTTCGTTGCAACATAATTCTGATTGTCTATTAACCCCTGCCTGACTGCAGGACACATCTGCTCTCCATAGCACTAATTCCCTATTTTTATGTATCTTAGCCGGCGCAGTTACTTTCTCTGACTCCCTTTTTTTGCCATTACTTATTTCGGGGAGCAGTACTTTTCGCAGTTCTGATAATCATGTTACACGTCACTCTGAAAAACTAATTTGTTTTAGAAACGTATAGTACCTCTGCAACAGGTTGATAAACTTGTTCAGGCACTCGTTTATTAAACAAAAACCAAAAAGCAAACTCGCTTCGTATTTTTTAATACCAGAATGTCCGAGTTGTTGATGATACTTTATGATCTAGCTAGTTTAGGGACAATGAAACTTTCATGTCATATAAATGCAAATCCTTTATTTATATAGTCATATTTAGATTTTTTATTAATGCAGCTGAAAATACGAGATGTTCAAAACTTATTGCTTAATATACTACCGTTATTTAATTTTTCATCAAATTGGAATAAAGTTTTGTATATATCACATGAGTAACAAATATTTATTCATTTAAAGAAAATAACTTACGAGTACATAAAGTGAATGAATAAACGCTCATTTAACTTAGTATTATCTGTTATTCTGATACAAAAACTTAAAATTCTCAGGGTGTGATCTAACGTTGCCCTAATCTGGCCTTTTTATTTATCTCAATAAATTTTGTTCTGATTTAACAAAAAAATCGGCACGCCTGGTAAAAGTGTTTACTAGTACGAAGGATGCCTGAAGTAGATATTTTTAGACAATATAAGATTTATTAACCAAGATTTGTAAAAATGTGCACAGTTATTTGTGAGGTATATATATGTTTGGTATATCCAGCAAAATAAACATTACTTTTTACGTTATATTGAATTAATTAAATTCAAGTTCTTTATACCATATTTATATTTAATAGTAAAATATTTCCATGTTTTCAATTTTTATAATGTAAAATAATGCTTTTGATGTTATAGCTGCAACAACCCTTCGCGATGAAAAAAAGGAGAGATTAAACACAATGTAAATCAAAAAAAATATGCCTACATAACTAACTCGGCAAGCAATTTATTTCTTCAATCTTTGTGTTCATGTTATCCCAGTTTACAGTTTATTTAAGTTTGTCGGTGATATTTCGCGGTAATTCCCAATACATTCAAGGATAAATGCATTTCAGTCTTGCGAATGGACTTACATACTGTCGATTCCAGATAAATGTTTAGTTAATCTATTTTATAAGTACAATTCATTTTTTTTAAATGTAATTTATTTAATATAAAATAAAATATGAATTGAAGATCATTGAATAAATGCGATTCATACGAGGTAAGTCACATATAATTTTTTTGCTGTTCATAACATGTGCATGTGATTTAAAAACGCCTATTTAAATATGGTTTACTCTCTAACTTTTCCAAGGTTTGGATTTTAATTTATTCCGCCTTTGGTTTTTCGTAAGTGCAATTATTTGTCATACAAATTTAAAATGCAGGGGTTGAGGTACTCAAAAATATTTGACTTTCACAAGGACCACCAATTAATAATGGATGCCATTAAATAACGCAATCATTTATAACCTTACCTGTATTTTTGGAGAATTAATTTAATTTTTTTCGTAAAATTTTAAACTGTTAATTAAAAAAAACTAAATATAAAAATTTTCTTGAGTACACGTTTATTCAGATCTTTGGTTCCGTGATGTAGTAATTTTTAAATTAGAAAACACTAATACAGTAAATACATTATACCAATTATTACCTAGAATAAAATGGCCCAAACATTAACTCCTTTCATATAACTACATAAGTGTTCTTTAGTTTTTCTGCTGATTCGTCCATTTGCAGATGGATTTCCTTCTCCTCACTGAGTAGTTCAATTGTAATATTCTGATGTCGTCGAACATCATTTATTTATTTCTCTTGTAGGTGCTCAATTCGGTTATTTATCCAATTTGTATCTTATAGTTATATAATAACTCAGTAAGATAGAAAACAAATAATACATTTTGATTTTAAAGGTGCATTTACACTGTTAATACTAATAGATTTCTGATTCCGTTAAGGGTAACTCCAAAATAAAGGTTAGGAAAGGTTCTCTAGAGTAGCAATATATCTAGCGAAATTCAATAGTCAACCTCAAAACTTGAGTTATATATTACTTGCGGATTAGGAAAAAATAGAAAATGTTACAATAAAAACACGTTTTTATATTATCTGTGTCTTTCAATCTGCTTATTTATTATTTATTTTTAAACAGGTACCTTGTTTCTAATAACTATATTGTGTTTTGCTATTGTTGCTATACCTATCGGTCTTCCGTAATATTCATTTTCATTAATCATTTTCAATAACACTTAATACAACTTAATATAAAAAATAATATAAAATTTAGTTTTTCGCTTTTTAACATTTTACATAATGCTATGGAGATTAATTAATAATTAATTGGATTTAAATGGGTCTGTTAAATTGTTTTTGTTGCAAAATGTAAATTTATAAAGCTACAACTGTAACTAAGAATCTTTTAATACCGGTTTAATATATAGAGATTTTGGAATATTTTGTCATATTTTGTATTTGATAAAGGCTCGGTGTTGCCCAAACACTCGTCATAAATCAATAAATAACTGAAAATATGAAAATTTGTTGTTCTAACTTAATTGTGCTTTACAAAATACCGATAAGCAATATTTTTCAAAATAATTAATAATCACGAATATTACTTAGGAAATAATTACATAGGAGTACTTCCTTGGTAATCCATTCGACTATATTAACTTAAGGTCTATTTATTACATTATAAATGCGCACTTATTAAAACATATTTCAAAATAGTGTACAATTGCGGTATTTCCTACCTACTGAAACATCACTATTATGTAAATATGTGTTTCCAGTCTGATGTATTTTTAAAATTATATTTGGGTCGCTGCGTGGAGTCGTATGATTAAAAGAACGAACTCATATTATTTAATATAAGATACAGAATTGAATATTTTGGTGTCTCTAAATATTTGTTTGTTTATGGCGTTCTGTTGAAAGTTGTTTTTTTACAGATGTCGGATTTGAAGGACGCCCCTTTCTCGGTGTGTGAGTCTGACTTTGACCGAAATGCTGCCCCAGCCACTGACGATGCACATACGAAAATTCGTCATCTTATCGAAGCATTTGACACATTGAAAATGCGAGACTCGGTAAAGTCTCAGATTGCGAAAAACCAAACAGGCGGCACCAGTTCTTCACTGCATAAATTGGAAAAAAATGACATTCTAACTAGTAAGCACCTGCTCTATTTTGCTTACTCACAAGCACCTATTTGTCTAAAATGCTTGACAAATTTAATTTTTAACTTATAAAAATGAAACAAAACAAACAAAAAATGGAACCTTTATCTTTAGTGGTCTTCCTTTCTCCATGCATATATGGAGGGAAATTGGGCATGTGGATTTATAGAAACGTTTCAGATGTCTCAGTGGCTTAGATACATTAAATTGGTGGTACATTTTTCTAAATAAATTCCTACACTGGTTGTTTATTTTAACAGGCATTTTTAATTTTTCTATAAAATACTGATTTCGTATATTATTTAAAAGTCCAATTGTTTAGTAAAACTTAAATAAATCTATCTACATTTTGGTATTCTGATATAGAGTTACTTTTCTGATTTGTTCTATTTGAAAATTAGTCACTTTATTATGTTATTATGTTTATTATCATATTTAGCATTTAAAATAATTGTGACTTTTTATTAGGTGTTCTGTTTCAAAAACTCAAAATATTAGCAAAAAAAATTTCAGAAACTTTAAATTTACATTATATGTGAAATCTGTCTAGAATTTTCCGAGGAATTCAGAAATTATTTTACATACAGGATTTTCTGCAGTAGAATCCCCCAGTAGCGAGCAGCATTCGGCAATCGGATGTTGGTCGTTTAGGAGGTGTGGTCGCTTAAAAGGAAAACACAGAATTTAAGGGATGCGCTGGTTTTTAAATTAGGAATTGGTTTCTTGAAAGTGGTCTCCAACAGGTTTTGCTGTATTTAAAATAAAAAAATTTTTACTTGTCCTCTAAAATGGAAACACTCTGTACATATAATAATACATTTTAAACTTATCAATGAGCGAAACATTTATTGAACTATGCCACTCCTTTCTAAGGTGTCAATTTTATCTCTGGGATTACCCAATATGTTAATAATCTTCGGTCAGTGGTTTATTAATCATATGCAAGTTTTAATTATTAATTTTTAAATATATACAGGGACTACGTTCATTGTAGAACGCCGCTAGGTCTTATTGGGCGAAAATGAGATTTTAATTGCTATCTTAATTTTTTATTTCATCGTCCCTTCATAAATTGATGTATTATGGGCATAGGCTGCTTACTATATATGTAGTAACTATGTGATTTTTTAATTATCATATTGTTTTATTATTATATTTTCATATTATATGTTGTATATTTTATTTTTAGTTTTAATGAGAAAAAGACGTTTATTATGTTAATTTAAAGAATGGAGAAGAAGTAAGGTGACTTCATGTTGGAAAATATTTGATAGCTTCATTTTACTCCTGCTTACATCAGAATTTATAACTTTAAATCGATTAATTTGTTCTCCCAGTGACCATCTATGACTGACACATAAAGGGGGAGGGTCAAAAAGTATGACATCATGATTATTCATAATCTTTGGATTAGGAAGAAAACAAAAAGAATATTTAATGTTTTATTTTTGTATCTGCTTATGATTGATAAGAGAGTTATTAATGTTGACAGTAAAGTATTGTTTTTAATTTTTTTAGACGATGTCCAGGTTAATGGAGACAGTTCAACCCGCATTGAGCAATTAAAAAGTTCTCTTAAACTTGCGCTAGATCATAGCTTTAAAAATGAAAAATTTGGGAGCGGCGATTCGGATATAGAGAACCTCGAAGGTGAAAGTAGTAGAGTGTCTGATTTAATAACAAAATTTCAAACCTACAGCAAGACAGCACCAAAGTATTGTACACCAAAAATTAATAAGAACACTCTGTTTTATTGTTGTTTGGTCATTGAAAAAGTTAAGGATTGTGCACAAATTAAATTTAAATTTCCAGCTCATGTAAGTATGATAGTGTAATACTGGGTGTCTCACAGTGTGGTCTTTCCTAGTCTTTTCCTTTTCAACAATTGTTAATCAGTTCCATGTCAGTCTATCAACATTGCTTTTCAATCAATAAAATTAATGTTACTTACGGAATTCCATTTGAAGTAAACAATAGAGAGATGGTTTTAATAAGCCACCAAGTGTGAGGTACCAAATACCAATCCCATTTCATTAAGGCCCAAAATTTTCTTCCAGTTAGTATTATATGAACTCTCTACAATATTATTTTAGGTCGCAATTCCACCAGAAATAGAACAATTATGTTTTCCTGAAAATTCAAACTGCCCACCACTGGATTGTTCCAGCGCAGCTCAGACTTATTCTTTGCTCATAACTAATCAAACAGGCGAAAGAATGTTTGGTTATTGCCGTCGGGTTCTGCCCGAGGGTTCGGTTCGCTGTTTACCATTAGCATATTGTATACTTAGTAAGAACAGGTAAGTTCGTGTTTCCCTGAAGGTGGACAATATCTGATTCTGAGTATTTCTGTGTATTTGAAACTTCCATTGTCTTCCAACTCCAACTCCTCTCAACTCCAACTCCATCTACGAATTTCCACATTTGTAGGACGCTGAGCAGTTTTTGTTGTCAAAGGTGTTTTTTGTTTGGATTGGTTACTGAATTTATTATTCTTTATATAAAATTAATATTTTTTCGTATACTGCAAACTTAACATAGGCAAGCTGTAGATATGCAAGCAGCTAAAGGCTCGCAAAATAGACTTGTCAAAAATGTGAAAATTTCGGATTGGGATACATCCAGCTAAAATATTTTTGAGATGAACGGAATTGTGTCTCAACCGGCTTGTTTATTAGAACACCCTATATATTATTGACATATTAATGTATTTTAGATATTTGTTTGCAAGCAGAAGGGTATCTGTATATTGTTCACATACGGAATCATTTATAACAGTCAGTTGGTCGGAAAAATAACCATTGCAATAAAATTGAAAAAACCGCTGAAATTTTTTTTTTTGAAATTTATTTAGAATTAATTATATTAATTATTAATTAAATAACTTAATATATATTTTAAGTATTTATAGTTTTTAAAATATTGCTATTCAAATACCTTCTAGTTTAGTTAATCAGAGTTAACTGTGTTAGTTGGTTAGATGTGTTTCAGTTTGTTTATTGTACAAAGTTAAATAAGTCACCGAGTTTTTGAAAAAAATCGGTGTACTATTTTCTTGGATCTTTCTAGTTAACTTTGATTAAACTGAACCTACAGGTTTTCCAATTGAAGAAAGCAAAATCAGTGGGTTTTCAAATTTGAATATTGGAATTATTAATCAAAGTCGTTAATTTTCCATTTGAAGAAAAAAAAGATTTCGGTGGTTTTTCAAATTTGAAAATTGGAATTATTAACCAAAGTCGTTAAATAAGCAAAAGTAAGCAATTTACTTTATAAAAAGTTATTTGAAATTATAATGAAATACATATGTGGAAGTTCATTTGAAGAACAGAAGATGTTGAATATCACACAAACGGGGAAAGCTATAACCCTGTAAGACATTATCTATGAAATATGTCTAAAGTTTTCTCGGGAGTGTTCTGTTTGGGACCCACAATCGGAAGTGCCGCCATTTTGAAAATGCTTTAGCTTCATTTCACCTGATTTCCAGATTGCCGATTATGGGTTCTCAATTTTTTATTTGTTATGTTGGTTCTTATGCATTTAACATGTTCATGACATATTTTAGGTCACCTAGGTTTTATAAAAAAATACTTACAGAGTTAGAATCTCGGCACGGTATGCAAAACTGGCGCAGAGATGAGTTAATAAGTCAGTTTTATAACAAAAATTTTCCTCAGCCTGGTGAAAGTATAGTAATTAATTTATCGAGAATAGAACCTGGATTTCATACGAATAATACTGAAAGTACATTTGAAGAAAGCGTTGATTTGACTAGTTATGTAAATGGTGAGTGTTTTTTTTTTCAAAGCTTCATTTTGAATACGTTAAAAGATTTGTTTCCTCCATAAATTGATAAGGAAGCCATGTAAATAGAACAGTACAGTCGTATCCTCGGGCTTTTAGGACATTTGCTATGGAAATTTTCTGCGCATGCAGTATTCACAATTTTTTTAAACATCATTGTCCACACACAAGTGGGTTTTCCCCAAAATTTAATAGTGTTTGGTCATATTTTCAAGAAACACTAACCGAAGTGAAAATTGCGAATTAACATCCAGGCAATGTTGAATGCGAAGGTTGACATAACTCGTGCATGCGCAGATCAATTTTTTGATATTGGCTACTCCTGCGTTAATCGGCATAGATAAAACCTTTAAATTCATTTTATCCTGTATTCGGTTTCATCTGGTTGGCCTACGACGGTTTTTCAATAGATTATGTCTGCCCACAAGTGGGATATTATGTAGTATGTTCACTTAAGTGTTCAACATATCGCACAATTTTTGTATTAATTGCTAGATCAAAATTCAATGACTGTCGAAAATTAATACATTTTAAATGCACACATGACTGTTGCGCAAGATAGGTCTTGACATACCGGTTAGTAAAACTTACCGAAACTTTTAAAAATTTCTTTTAAATATCTCCAAAAATGTTAAATTCAATACCTGGGTATTTTTGAACATGCAGGATACAAACATGCCAACAGCAATGTTGTCAGATCTACAGTTTTTATGTCAGGCATAATAATTTTGATATTTTACATTTAATGCACTATTAATTTTTGTTTGCAAAGCTCTGGCTTGTAACGTAAAAGTGGTAAGTCTGGCGACATTGCTATAAACATTTTTAAATTCTGCATGTTCAACAATCCGCAGGTATTGAATTTTTACTAACCCGGTATAAAAATTGCACAAGAATATTATAGTACCCTTATTTCAAATCATACAGTAAAATTATATTAAAAAAAGTTGTTGAGAATTGATAGTTATGCCCAAATACCAAAGCAAACCTTTTTTCTTTTGAAAAATCGAAGTAATTATCAACATCGAATCAATCAGGCACAATTTGGTTGCCTATTTTTATTCTTTCAGTGAGGAAAAGTGGAGAATATAGTCACATCGACAAATTAAAACTAGGAGATTGGATATTTATATCAGATGCGGATGTGAAAGAATCTTGCAGAGCACCAAGTTATATTGCATATGAGGAGCAAAAGATGGAGTTGGTAATAACATTACATTTTGATACTCGATATGAGGACACTGATTTGAGAAGTCTTCATAATTTGCCAAGTGACATTTTGTTGAAAGTTTTTTCTTCACTTTTACTGGAGAGAAAAGTTATTTTTATTAGTTCGTTTATCAGGTAAGATCGTATTGGAAATTTTCCACTACATATAAACATCATCGGCCGCATACATTGCAAAAATGTATGCGACCATAGAGGCTAAAATGCGTATTTGTAATGAGTCCAATGGCTGATCCATATTTTTGTTTGTGGTTTTTTTACGTTAACCAAAATGTTGTTAAAGGTGTTACTGATCTCCCAAATTTTATAGAAACTAAATATACTGGTTTATGTGAGTCATTCATGAAAGGGGAGTGATCCACTTCAATCCCATGAATCCCAAGTAATAACGTAGGCAGGAAATATTGAGAGCCTGATCTTTCACAATTAAATACAATATAAATAAATCTCCTGTTAGTGGGATTTTGATTGATTGTGTATTTTGCTTAAGTAGTGAAACCAAAAAATAAGATCCATTTTTCTCTCTTATGATCTCACTTTTCTTGTAGCAATTCACTTTGTTGGGTTTTCAAATTTTTATTATATAAATTATTTTCTTTTTGTTTATTGGGTGTTCATTTAAATTTAATTAGTTTTGTTAGTTAAGTATTTTCTTCGTGTAGCTAGGACGAATTGGATGCACCAACGTTTATTTATCCTAATTTCGGAACTTATGTAATTTGCAAAAGTATCAAAATTTAATTTAAAAAAAACTTAAGTGAAGTGAAAAAGTTATTGCCTGTTTTAATAAGGTTTGTAATATCTTAAGCATTCAGTATTATAAATCCCTAAGAAGTACCTATTTAAGATATGTAAGCGTGTATGGTAAATTTAGTGACAAACAATCACATATGGTATATGGTGTCCAAAAATTTAATTTAATCTAATAAATTAAACTTTATATGGAAAACAATGTTTTCTGTATTGATATTGGAGAGAACCATAAAATTTTATTTTTTTTTATTTTATTTACAATATATATAAAGCTTTGATCAAAACATTTGTTTATTTGGAGTAATATATTTAGAAAATTATACATTTTTGAAAAGCGCAATCAAATTGTGAAAAAAATATAGTGCGTCCCATTAAAAAAACAAATTTAGGTCGTATGTGAAAAAATGTCGGTACGCCACTGGATTCTAAGCAAAATGATTTTTGATGATTTTCATCTCATTACGGGACAGGGTGTTGAAAATACAAAGCGTAACTGAAATTGCCAAATTTGTTGTTTTTTCCTGTATCTCAAAAGAAAGCCAGCTAGGAGTTTTAAAAACGTCTTCTTTTGTTTCGAGCACAGTATTGTGAAGTCCGCATCGCCGTATTTGTAATAGTAATTGGTATACTCCGCAATAATAACAAAAAATGGACACAGCTGATTTGCAAAACAAAATATATTCATATATTCATATAAGCCCTTAGTTCTGAAAAGAGCGAGCTATACTTATAAATAACTTACATCTGATAAAATCGATTCAATTCATGTCGCGCATTGTTTACTATAATTAATTAGGTAAAATGCTCGAGGCTATTGCGTATAACATGAAATTAATATGGGTATTTTGAATGTAGATTTTAAATTCGAAAACTAGTTATCGGGTACAGCAGGAAAATTTGAGAATTTTAGCTTTTGGGCTGTAGTTGGTGACCCAGGCAGATCATGTTATTAAACTGGACGTACAATTGATCTATGCATGCGAAATACTGCATCGTGAAGAAACTATTATGCAATTCGTGGAAAAACTAAATTACAGCGAAGTCTAATTTAAACTGAACTGACGTCCGTTGGGTTTTTTTACTACATTATTAGTTAAAGTAAAGGTTTGTCAGGGAATACTATTTAATTCTGTTTTTTTGTTCATAACATCACCAGATATTATCTAATGAATTTTTGCTTTTCTCATAATTGAGTTTAGTTAGTTGAAGGTGTCATATTTCAATAAATTAAATTTTAAGACCTTGGTTTGCAAATTTTATCCTTTTGATTTTCAGCAAACTATCTTCGTGTGTCGATTCACTGCAAAGTATATTGTATCCATTTACTTGGTATCACACATTAATTCCGATCCTTCCGGAATCGCTTTGGGATATTGTAGAGAGCCCAACCCCTGTGATTTGTGGTGTTCTTTCCAAGGAAGCCGTTATTGAACGAAAAATTGAGAATGTAAGTTTTTGTTAATTAATAGCCAAATGAGGCAGAGGGACAGGTTAAGGTATCATGAAAAATATTTTTAGGGGATCGTAGTCAATCTGGATACTAATACCGTCCTGATGGAAGAAGGGGACGAAATGAAAATATTAAGTAGCGGTATGCAAAAGGTTTGGAAGAGAGGTATTGCTCTAGCAAATAGAGCAGCAACCGCAATGGACTATGTGCAGTCAGTTTATTTGGCGGATGCTTATTTACAAGTATTCATTTTTTGTTTGAAAAATTATAAAGAGTTTTTAGTTGATGGCACTTTTTTGGTGAGTTTTTGAGTTTTGTTTGTTGTTTATGTTAGCTGAGGTTAAGCAATAAGGTGCGGGCAAGAACAGCTATTTTATAATGAATAAATCTAAGTAGCATTTTTGTATTTCTGTGCCACTGTTAATTAAAAATTTTCCTGTTGCAGAAAGCAGAATTTTTGAAAAATACGAAGGGAAAAGGGACAAAACGCTTTTTGAATATGTTCACTGAAACATGCATGTTCCATGCATTTATAGATTCAGCATTGCAAAATCCCAAAAGTTTGGAAGAATTTGACAAGAAAATTAGACTGTATAGTTCAGACGATTGTAATATTATTTTAGACAAACTGCTGGAATGGAACAGATAGACTGAAATTAAAATAATTGTTTAGGTACATTATATATATTTTTGTATGTTAATAAATAATACTATAATGCAGTATACATGGTTTACTTTAAAGGAAAATGAAATTCCCTTTCTGCGCATCACCAAAGGAATACAGAATACCTTAGATAAAATGATTAAGATTTTGATAATTAAAGTAAACGATAACTTCTAAGAGTGACGGGTGTATTTGTATTGGTATCCGTTAAGCTGGCGTTACAATGATTCAGGCATGACATATATTATAACGGATCATGATAATTTTTTAAATAAAAGTATATACCAATACGGACAAAGGGAAAGTCAATAAAAAAGAGTATTTGTATAATTTTCAGTTAATTACCACAAGTAAATCTTATAGGATCTCGATTGCTAGGTCTTCGGTGCTGAAGGGACGACGAAGGTTTGTGCTAACCTGGGATACAGTTCAAACATAAGTTGAATTGGTGGTTGGACGTCATGGAAAGTTACAGCTGCTTGTAATAAACAACTGTTTTGCACATATAAAACTAAGCCTTATTTCAACTTTAACTTGGATTAAAGATTTTGGTCTTAAAAACAAGTGAGTCAAAATGTAATTCCCATAATTAACATCACGTAGCGCGTTGTTCCTTTTACCTTTTACCTAGTTAATGCATTTTTCATGTTTAAAAAAATATATTTTGTTGTTAAGTATTGCCAAATGGCACCAATGCTAACTGCAATTATTATGAGCAACTGGACGGTTTCATTAATTTTTACTTGATGGAGAGAGGTATTGATTTTCTAAAATAATTTGGTCACAATTCTTTAAAATAGAATCTTACGATATATTGTAGCCTTTCTTGAACATTTTGAGTAATATATACAGACAATTTTTGACGTATTCCTGTGCAATTTTTTTCTTGGTGAGGGGGTGGGGGGTAAAAGTTGTCGAATTTTAAAAGTTTATTATTAACCAAGACTCTGTTTAAATCATTAGATACTTTAAAAGTACCAAACATCATTTGTTCTATTCATTCTCAGGTTTCTCTGCTGATACCTAATTGTTTTTTTTGTATTTGTTGTATTTTAGAAATGTCAAAAATATAATTATCGATATTTCATTTATAAAATAAATTACTAGTTTAATATCTTATGTACTTTTTTTGCTAATACCAGTAGGTGAATTGAGCAATTGTAAAATAAAATACACAAGTAAAAATCTCGTATAGCCAAATTCATGGTTTTTTATATTTATTGTGGACTTAGATTTTTGTTGATTTCCGAAAGAGTTTGGACATAATTTTAATTAAAAGTCAACTTAGATATTTGGTTAGACTTTTTTTGATATCTGAAATTTCCAGTAGTGGCTCGGCAGTCGATTTCTTGGAGATGGCTGCCCATAGAAAAAAATCAATTATTGTTTTTACGGAATCTCTATACACATCGCATCAAAATCATCAATTTAATTGTAGCTTAAATCTTCAGGGGAAGAAACGATGTTATGAAAAACATTTTTATTTAAATTTAAGTTTTAGGTATGGACAGAGTGTTTAAAGAAAAGCCATTTTATACTCAATGTTTGTCATTATTTTGTCAAATATTGAACTGAGGTGGCTTTTTCTTGATGATAATCCATTTATCAAAATGAATAAGAACTAAAATATCAGATTTTTACAAAATTATATATTTTCACATGTTTGACATTTGATAAAGATACGGTGTTGTCGAAACAATTGTCATGTCAAAATATATAATTTCGTGAAAATCTGAACTTTTAGTTCCTATTTATTTTGATTATTTTGTCATTCTGTAGCAATACCCTTAAACACTATTAGGTTTTTTTGGTCGCATTCCATCTTCATATTTTAAATGCGACCTGCAACCAGGTCGTAGGTTTTTGTGTGAGATAGTTTTATTTGGTTCAAATAAGACATTTCCTACATGCTATAAATTAAAAAATAAATATTCAAGGGGCTTAGATATTAATGCCAACTGCCGATTCTAGCAAAACAGTTCGTCCAGACATTCCATCATTTGTTTAAGAGATAAAACGTTTACAAACATAACGGTTGCCGCTGGCAACCCAAACTCCAAATAATGTGTGGATGACTGCACGAACAATGAGACAAGCGTCCTTTTTCTTTGATGTGCGCAAATTTACCGACTCCGAGCCGGAAACTGTTACCATATTGCCAAACGATTTGCCAAGCTACACACTCCCCATCCACTCTGTTCCCAGGTCAGCGAACTATCTATCGCTTGGTGTTAAGATAATCCGCTGGCAATATTTTGTTGATATTGCCAGCTTTAAAAACTTTTCCTACTTATTTCCGATCTGCCTCTAATAGATGCAATTTTTATGTAGATGTTTTGGTTATCTGGTTTATTTCTTAGTGTAATTGGAATAATATTCTGGACAGGCATCTGATTGGTAATATCAATAGTGAAAAATTAAAACAGTGTGTCAAAAATTAGGATTCTGTGTAATTTATCTGACTGAAGAAGTGTAATACTTTCAGGAACTACCTATTGTTTTTTTTCTTTTTTTGTATCCTTTTACCTACCTAGTGCGGTTTATGTGTGTTTCCTCTTTTAATAAAAAATTTACTTTATTCGTTTCCCGAAACTCTAGTCAGGAATTTTAGAGCGATCGGATGTTGTTTTCTGTAGATTTTAAACACTGATGGTATTTCGAAGTTTGTTAGGTCTGAGGGTCACGTCACGCGCCACTGAGTAAAAGTTCTTCATTCAAATCTTTTATTAACGATTTGCGCTCCGTTTGTGCCATAACAAACTCAATAGATACAGTGACGTTTATCTAACATGTTTGTATTTGTAACATCTTTGTAAATCTGTATAAATATCCTCTTTAATTTAAGCAAGTTATCTATTTCCACCATAATCGGAATAGTCATTTGTATTGATATTACTATATTTTAAAAATTTTGTTTTCTTCTTTTATTTAAATAATATCCTTACTTTTTACTTAACATCCTTGCAGTTGCCGGTGAGTTATCCTGCACACATAGAGCTCTCCAACCGATATACCGTTTTTAAGACATAATCCCGTATTTAACTTTGGTAAATTTTTGATGAATGTCTAACCGCAGGCCTACCTCGCTCTTTGTAACCCTCAAGAAATAGATCCTCAATTTCACAATAACGTTCCAGAACCGTACTTCAGTACTTCGTTCATACAAATGCTGAAAACTGACGGATTTGTGTAGAGTTTCATCGCTGAGATTCCTCGATTATTATTGCAGTCTAGTCTATGCAGTGAAAAATCCATTCTTACTTTAAAATGTTTATTATAAATATAAACAAAGCAGTAAATTTAGCAATAAAACAATGATAGAATATTTATAAAAATAAGTTATTCTACATCAAAATAATCACTATTGTCACTGGACTCGCTCTGCACATTAATAATTAATTCTGGAATTAGTCTACTTCTCTAAACATTTTCTTCTGCGAAGGCATATTCTACACATTTTTTCCAACTAGAAGCAGATATTTGTTCTACTTCACTTCTCATTAATTCTATTGCCCCAGAACCAATTTTTTTTTAAACTACTTCTTCTTAAACTAGGTTTCAGCTGCCCCCAAATCAGTTCTATCGGATTAAAATTGCAGTGATATGCTGGGAGACGGAGACCTTTAAATACCCACTCTATGGCCAACTTGTCCACATTATACTTCTTATCAAACTTTCCCGAACTGCCAATAATGGCTTCATAGCTCGCATGTAGTATGATAATTCGTTTGCCCTGCGGAATCGGTACATCCAACGAACATTTCCTGCTGTTACCGTCAATTTCTTGGATTTCTCTCAAATATCTTGTCCTCCACTCCTAAATTCTTGTCTTGAGTCTTGAAAAACAATTGAATAACAGTAAATTGGTAAATACTAATTACAAACACAAGACGGAAAACTCCAAAGCTTCGACGGCTAAAAAAATACTGGTTCATAAAACTGCCAGAATGCTCCGATTTCACCAACCCCCAGAAATCAACCAGTAGGAAACTGGGAAAACGTCCATTATAAATCAATAATCTACATAAGACTTTGTATTGCTTTCCTTGGAAAATATTTTAGTGTCATTAAATTGGAAATCAGTTTAAGCTTTCTAATGTGTTTTTAATATAGGAGATCAACCTGTCTAATGAGCAGATTCAACTTTTAGGAAGATTTATAAAAAGCACACTAATATGAATTAATATAACAATTTAATCAAAACAAAATTTCCTACTCTTAAAATATAACAGTCCGCACGGCACAGTTATTGTCGGCTAACATTTTAAATATGGCCCTAGCTTGTAGTATACTTCCGCTTTATAACGGGCGGGACTTAAACTGATTCCGAAGTCAAAACCTTAAAAGGTTGTAAAAACGGTATATGGTTCGGAGAACTCTACTTTGTCTGTGTATCTACAAAGGGATGTCATCCGTAATCAATTCCCCCATACCAATGCCACTTTATTGTTGCATTACTCGTTAAGTTTTGAGAGATGGGAACCGAACGGAATGTCAGCGTCACTAGATCTTGCCACGTATATTGCAGAATTTATGTCGTAATATGTTCACCTTAATTGAACTGTAAAGTTTCAGACAAAGACATAACATCATAAGCCTCCTTTCTGTTGTGCGAGTTGACTGTAACATAATTGATAATACCAAGAATTGGTTGATTGACGTTGCTCAAAATGAATTTGGAATTATTTCGCCATTCATTAGAGAAACAAAAACTTCCAAGAAATTGTTATTATTTTTATGTTATTTGGTTGGGTTATGTTATTTTGGTCTTTGGCAATTGGATCTTACACCCTTTTTTTTAAATAAAATTTTAATAAAAGTACCTTTTCCTACTCCCTACTATGAGATACCTGACTGTGCGCCGATCGAGTGTGTGCAAAATGTGAAGTGTCATTTTTAATGTCAGCATCCTTAATCACAATTGGCCACGGGTTAGGTAGCGATCGGATGTTTTCGGTAAATTTTAACAAGTCTTTAAGATACAGGTGTCAAAATTTTGAATAAATATCTCAAATATTTTTTGAGCGATTTTGGATTTAGAAGTAATGAAATTTAAT